GAGCTTAGAAATGCAAGTTCTCAGGCCCTGCCCTAGACCAACAGAATCAGAAACTGTGAATGAGGCCCAGCAATCTGTGCTTTAACAAACCTTCAGGTGACTCTGATGCAGGGACAGTGGTTCTCAGCCAGGAGCAATTTTGTCACCTAGGGGACATTTGGAAATGTCTGAAGACGTTTTTAGTTATAAAGGAAGTGCTAATGGTATCCAGAAGGCAGAGGCCAGGGATGCTGTTAAATACTCTACAGTGCAAGGGACAGCCCCCTTCCCACTTCCCAAAAAAGAATTCTGTGTCCCCAAATGTCAATAGTACAGAGATATAGGAACCTTCTTTAGGGGAATGTAATTTTGTTTCATTTACTGTTTACTGAGGATTAGGTCTCAGTTTCTAACTTCCAGAAAATGGTTAAGATGCAACATTTTTATCAGGTAGAGGTGTAAATTATTTCTGTCTAGTAGAGAAGATAACCTCAAAGATTATGGTTTAATTGCCTTGTAGGATATTATATTCATGTGTACTGTGTAGCAAAATACCCTAATACCTAGTAACATAAAACAATAAGCATTTATTATTACCATGATTTCTGTGAAGCCGGAATTCATTAAGTAGCTTTAATTCTTGGAGAAACAATTTTCATATGCTCTGTAGCAATTTTGTTTTCTGGTGAGTTCTCCGACATCTGTCTAACTGTCCTCTTTTTATCTTCTCATATTCCCTTGGTTTTGGTTTTACCTCTGTTTTAATTTTGAGCTTTTATTCAAAATCTGGGGGAAGTTCCTCTAGGGAAGGAACCAGGGTAGTGTTCAGGCCCTGTCAAATTTCTCTTACGATCCTAGGTTTTGAGTGTGAGTTCAGTTAGTCTTAACATCTTGCTGGGCACTGGCAACTATGGGATTTTTTGGTTTTTTCATCATAAAGATCCTCTGGCATTCTGCTGTCACAGAGGCAGATTGCTTCCAGCAAATACTGCTTGTCAGTGTGCCCTGGCTCTCCTGCTTCTCCGAACCAAACAGGCCCGGGAAGCTCCTGCCACCGGCTAACATGTCCTTGTTTCTTCTGTTGTAAACAAGGATTGAGGATTTGTACTTCAGTGTGTGCCCCTTCTCTCTGAGCGGGATATTTGCTGCCGCCTGGTGTGTGTGTGTGTGTGTGTGTGTGTGTGTGTGTGTGTGTGTGTGTTGAGGTGGAATCTCACTCCAGGCTGGAGTGCAGTGGCATGATCTTTGCTTACTTGCAACCTCCGCCTCCCGGGTTCAAGCGATTCTCCTGCCTCAGCCTCCTGAGTAGCTGGGATTTCAGGTGCGCACTGCCATGCCTAGCTAATTTTTGTATTTTTAGTAGAGATGGGGTTTCACCATGTTAACCAGGCTGGTCTTGAACTCCTGGCCTCAAGTGATCCACCTCGGCCTCCCAAAGTCCTGCAATTACATAGGTGAGCCACCGGACCCGGCCTTGTGTGTATGTTTTAAATACTTGCAGCTACTGAATCCTTCTCTCCCAGAGCGATGTCAGTCCTTGTCCTCCTTCCTGCAAGTCCCTCCATCCTGCAAGTCTCTGATGCTCTTGACCATCTTTCCTTTGTCGGGCCAGGATTTCAGTTCTCACCAGCTTTTTCTGCAAATTGAAACTGTTTTTTGTTTTTATTCTCATTGATGCTTTTTAAAATGATTTCCAGTAAGAGAAGGAATAATGATTTATTTTCCTCCAACTTTTTAAAAAATCACAAACCTTTATAAAAGTTTAAAAAATAGTACAATGAACATCTATGTACCCTTTACCTAGAGTCAACATTTTGGTGTTTTCCCACATTCTTTTTATCTTTCTGCACAAATAGAAACTTTTAAAAAATTTTGACCCTTTGAAAGTTGCAAATATTGATACTCTATCCCTAACTACTTCTCCTAAAAAGAGAGATTCTCCTACATAACCATAAAATTGTTACCACACTGAAGTGAGTTAACATTCATACAATAGTTCAATTAATATATACTCCTTATTTGTTTATTTATTTATTTATGTATTTATTTTGAGACAGAGTCTCACTCTGTCACCCAGGCTGGAGTGCAGTGACGTGATCTTGGCTCACTGCAGCCTCCACCTCCCTGGTTCAAGCTATTCTCCTGCCTCAGCCTCCCAAGTAGTTGGGATTACAGTCGTGCGGTACCACGCCTGGCTAATTTTTGTATTTTTTGCATTTTTTTAGGGGTTTCATCATGTTGGCCAGGCTGGTCTCGAACTCCTGACCTCAAGTGATCTGCCTACCTCAGCCTCCCAAAGTGCTGGGATTACAGGCATGAGGCACTGCACTCGGCCTATACTCCATATTTAAATCTTTCCAGTTGCCCCCGCAAATGCCTGCTTTACTTTTTTCTTTTATTATTTTTTTAATCCAGACATTGTCTCGCTCTGTTGCCCAGGCTGGAGTGCAGTGGCACAGTCATAGCTCGTTGCAGCCTCGAACTCCTGTGTTTAAGCAGTCTTCCTGCCTCAGCCTTCCAAAGCACTGGGACTATAGGCGTGAGCCACTGCTTTCTTCAGTATTTGACCCAGAATCCAATCAAGGTTTGTAACATCACATTTCACTATTGTGTTTCATTCAATCTTTTTTGACCCAAAATTGCCCTTTCCCTCCTTTATCTGTTCATGATATTTTATTTTTGAGGTGTTCAGGCCAGTTGCCTTGTAGAATGCTCCAAGTAATTCTTCTTTTATGCTCCTGTGGATAAACTGCATGTCACTTAGATTCTGAATGGGCATGAATTCCAACATGATATGCTAGTAACATTTTTAAGACACAAGATAATCATTTTTGTTTGAGGTCTGGGTGCTCTCTAGACTTAGGCCAGCACGTTTTAGATGCAGCCAGGAGGAAGCCATTTCCTGATGAAGGCTTAAAATGCCAAGTAGTTTCCTATACTTACCCACCTTCAATAGCTGTAAAATACATTCCAGTTATCAAGTAAATGCTTTTTATTTTAAAAAGTAGTGTTTGTTTTCCTCCTGTCTCCCTGTAGTAAACTAATAAACTCTTTTAAGAGCCAGCCTTTTAAATATATTTGTGTTGTATCCCATTTACATATACCCAATATATGGATTTTTCTCTAACTTCATTTACATTTTACCCATTTGGTTTCTTAATCTTGCTGGTCTATTTTCAAACAGGACAAGACTAGTCAGTATTACAATCAAACAAGAACTAATCCTACACACACATAGTGCCAGAAATAAGAAAATCTGTTTTGACTATTTTCATTAATACTTCTGTTTAAGTCTTTTTTTTTTTTTTTTTAGACAGAGTCTTGCTCTTTTGCCCAGACTGGAGTGCAGTGGCACCATCTCTGCTCAGCTCACGGCAAGTTCTGCCTCCCGGGTTCATGCCATTCTCCTGCCTTAGCCTCTCAAATAGCTGGGACTACAGGTGCGCACCACCACGTTCGGCTAATTTTTTGTTGTTGTTGTTTAGTATTTTTAGTAGAGACGGGGTTTCACCATGTTAACCAGGATGGTTTTGATCTCCTGACCTTATGATCCACCCACCTCAGCCTCCTAAAGTGCTGGGATTATAGGCATGAGCCACCGTAAATCTTTTTTTTAACAGAAAATTTAGTTAAATATTGGGTTTAGAGCCTCCAAATACACAGCCATATAATATACAGAAAATCTGGGCTCTTGAAACAATTTTAGAGAAGAATCCTGCTTAATTGCAAAATAATAACAACATAAGGTCTTTACAAATACTTTTACATATATTATCTGACCTGATCTTTACCAAAACTCTATGAGGTAGTTGAAGAGGGTGGTGAAATCTCTCTTTTTCAAATGAAGAAATTGAGGCTCAATTAGATGTACCTGACTTGCCCAGGATTCCATGACTATAAGCAGCCAAGATGAGATTTCAATCTGGTTGGGAATTGCGTGCTAAAGGTACACTTTTGTGGTGCAGTTTCACTGAATTGATTTCCTCAGTCATTCTAGAGCTTTATATATTTTGGCAAAATTAAGATATTTATCTTAGGAATAATTAAGCTTCCTACCATCAATAACAGTTTGACGTTCTCTTCTGTAGAAGTCCTGCCTTCATTTTTAAATTGCAAACTCCTCTGTCCATTGTACAGACTTACCATGAAAATCTGGGGACGTTATTGCTTCGGAGGATATCCACTCAACATAAGGGTTCAGATAACCAATCATGGCTTCTCTGGTTTAGGCAGATCTGAGAAAGCATCAGTCAATTCATAGATGCTCCAATGAAGATGCAATTAAAACATTTTATAAATCCTGCCCTCATACCTCATTTTCATTGTTAAGAGTTTGCTTTTGTTTTTTCTTTCAATTTTCTGGGTGACAGTGATCATCAAACCTACAAAATTAAGGTCTGGAGGAGTCAATTGTGATTGTTCTTTTTGCCCCATCATGGATTTGCCTATTTTGTTTATTTTGCTGATTATGGTAAATTGATAGATTGGAAACATCAGAGTCATTGGTTGTCAGTAAATGATATAATCAAAATTATAAGGCAGTTTTGTCATAGACTTAAATTATTCTTCAGCAAAGTAATAATAGGTAGGGGTGTGTGTGTGTGAGTGTGCACGTGTGCGTGTATACAGTAAGTCCTCACTTAACATGGTCTGTAGGTTCTTGGGAACAGCAACTTTAAGTCAAATGAAGTGTTCAAACTGGTCCTCCACAAGGTGGTTTCATTCAATTTCCTTTTATTACAACGTTGATGAGAAAAAAAGTTGGTCTTGTTATAGTTGTTTCAAGACCAACTTCAAGTTGTTAAAATAGCAGTTTCCAAGAATCTATGGACAAATGAGGACTTACTGTGTATATACACATACAATATACAGGCACATATGTAATTTATATATGTATATACATAGTTATTTGTTTTTTATTTTTTACTCGTTACATTTAATATCTTTGTCATAGGAAGGCTGACAATATAAAACTTCCTATGTATGAAAACTCAAAAATAACCAAAGTGGCAAGTGAATAATTCCTTTGAGAAGCAAAAGAACAGTACAATGTTTATTAACACGTTTCTTCCTGAATTTTCTTCCATTGTTTTAAACACACAAAAAAGCTTTCCTGTACTTAGATTGCTGTTTTCTGTTTTTAATGTTGTTAACATGCATATTATTGCATTTATGGGTAGTAGTAGATAGTGTAATATACATGAAACCAACATCTAGGGATGACTGCCTTCTGAGTGCTTACAGGTGGCGTGTTCTCTTATTATCCAGCTTAATCACAGCTCCCTCAACTGATAACTTCACTTCATCTGCAGTATTTCCAATCTGTAAATCTGGTTGGCACAAGTTGGTTTTAGCATATTTGGAACCATATTTTAAATCACTGGAACCACTTTGCCTTAATGCCCATGGGCTGTCAGCTCTCAAGGGCCAAGACCAAGTTTTTCTTAACTTTGTGCATATAGCATGGGACCTGGCCGGAACAGGTACTCAACAATTTTGCTGAGCAGAACTGTCCTCAGTGGAGAAAAGAAAGGAGAAAGGCTTCACTGTAGACTGCCCCAAATACAAACAAATTCCATTTTAAATGGAATATACACACTTTAGCCCCCAAATGCAGACCAGTGCACCTCTGTGGGGTAGTTTCCGACTAGTCACCTGGTAACAGATCATTCCTGTCATTCACAGGCTCAGTCCCATCTCTATTTTTCAGTATCTTGAATCAAGTTCTCTCTCCTCTAATCATGGAAGAAATAGAACCATAACTAGTTATTTTGGGTAAATGGGAGCTACTTAAAAGATTGATATTTTAAAAGCTTAAATGAAATGTTAATCAAATATGATTTGTGATTATTTTCTTTCTATGAATATTCTTTAATTGTGGAAGGCTGTTTCTTAGGAAGAGAACAAGGGTTTTCTTTTACAACCGAAAGTTTTTTTTGTTTGTTTGTTTTTTCATGAAATTCTTGAGTTTTAAAAAATTGATGGTTGTTTTGCATGTCACCTAGTAGCTGATTCAATGGTTTGTTTTTCTGCTAAATGTTAACCTTCAAAACTTGAATTTATTTCTTAATTGCTATTTCTACTTCAGGAATCTTAAGAAAGATGGCTTAACCCAGTCAGAAGGGACAAGCATAATTTTCTTCCATGGCTATTATAAGTATTAGGAGAGTTTTCACGACCATGCCATAGCTTCCTAGTGATGCAGAATTGGTAAGACTTGTGTGATATATACATGTGTGACTTGTTACATATCATAGCAACTGTATGGTAGGAACAATGTAAATAGCTTCTCTTGCAGTTGACCATCATTAGAAGAATCACTGCATTCCAGTGTCTGAAGAGCTTCCTTGTCCTCAGGAAAATGTTAAGTCCTGGTCCCATCCAAAAGGCAGACCAAAAAAAAAAAAAAAAAAAAAAAAATCCTCTAAATCATCTCCTTGTTAACTGTTTCCCGCCACAGCACACACAAAAGTTTATAAAAGTATTGAAAGGATATTCTCACAAAAAAAGCGAAGTCTGAGTTTACAGAATGAGTATCAAGTACATGCAAAAAAGCTTTCGTTTCACCCGTATATAAATGGCTCTAGAGAAAGATACATGAAAAAAGTACTGACTACATAACACAGTCTTTGTGGCACTTAACTAGGGGTAGGGGAGCAGGAAATAAATAGTTCATAGTTAGGGTCATTTCTCTGTCCCATAGTCCAAACATGGAGATCCCACAGTGTCCCAAGGCAGTAAACATCCAGGTATCTTTCCAGATAACTTCCTGAGAGTCAGAGCTTTCTTCAGAGTTTCTCACCTTGCCCTTCCGAAAGCCAACATTATTGCCTTCCGTTTCCGCAGCCTGAAGTCAGCCATCCTGAAACACAAATTGGAACCTATTGCATGGCTGGATCTCATGTAACAAAGTAAGAATGTTCCTAGAAAGCAGTTTTTCAGATGAATTTGAGGGAATATCTGAAATGATCAGTACCTCATAGTCTCAGGATTTAGTGGGAATTAGGAGATCACATAGGTAGCCGGGTGCAGTGGCTCACACCTATAATCCCAGCACTTTAGGAGGCTAAGGTGGGAGGATCACTTGAGACCAGGAGTTCAAGACCAGCCTAGTAAATATAGCAAGACCCCGTCTCTACAAAAAATAAATAAAAACCAGCTGGGTGTGGTGGCATATGCCTGCTGGCCCAGCTACTTAGGAGGCTGAGATGGGAGGATCACTTGAGCCCAGGAGTTTGAGGCTGTGGTGAGCTATGACTGTACCACTGCAGTCCTGCCTAAGGGACAGTGAGAGCTTGTCTCAGAAAAAAAAAAAAAAAAAGAGAGAGAGAGAGATCACGTAGTTCACCCAGCACATGAACTCTTGAAGACTCCTATATGGAGTCCAACTAGGATGTTGACCTTAAAGGGTATACCACAAATCATTAGTTCCTCAAAATGATTCTTGTTAAAAGGTTTCCCTTTTAGAAATCCACAGTGTAAATTAGTGCATAAGGGCACTGAGAAAACCTATCAATCTACATATGTGTATGTACATATGTATGACTATATATGTATATGACATATATTCACAAACATATTCCATTTTATTTAGTCAGCATTTCCCAACATTTTTATGATAAATATTTGTTGACTAAATTTAATTTAGTAGAAGATAAAGGAAAATAAAAGAAGTTTAAAGGAAATGCATGTATTCTTACTGCCAAGAGAGTAATCTTGACCTGTTCTGACATGCAGGGGCTCTGTGGTCATCGGTGAGATGAGGTACACTGCCACAGAAAATGTTCATACCCTTATATTTTAAAATGAGTATAAATCCTAGAACTCTGTTGGAGGAAATACACGGATTACAAACACAAGTACCTTTTCTGCGTTCTACAGTTTTTAACTACAGGACTCACAAACATCATCTGATACTAAATAATAAATGTGTAGGTCAGTGCTCCTAATGCCATTTATTGGTCTCGCCTGGCAGAAAAAAAAAAAAAAAATCTTAAATTTAAAAACTCCTTTGTCTACATATTCAACCCCTGGGTATAATTTTGTCATTTTTTTTTCCTTCTTGCTTATTCCCTAAACAGGGCAAACATCTCATTTGTTACTGATTTCTATGGGACTGAGACTATATACCATACATATGCATTTCATACAAGAGCATACTTCCTTCATTAATTAGCACAGATGAAATTAAATACTTGGGGTCAGTGAATCATCCCTGTGCTTTAAGAGAGAAAAACATGGCCGGGCGCAATGGCTCACATCTGTAATCCCAGCACTTTGGGAGGATGAGGCAGGTAAAATACCTGAGGTCAGGAGTTCAAGATCAGCCTGGCCAACATGGTGAAACCCTGTCTCTACTGAAAAAACAAAAACTAGTGGGGCGAGATTGCGCCACTGCACTCTAGCCTGGGTGAAAGAGTGAGACTCTGTCAAAAAAAAAAGAGAGATAAGAACACAGAAAGGATAAGAGAGCATTTGAATATAAAAGTTCAATTTCCAGAAAACAAATTTAAATTTTTTTAAAAGCCCAGATACTTGTTTATATTTCCTTATAGAGATTAATGATCAGGAAATCTTACCTATGTGATTGTCTTACACCCAACAGGCTGTGAACTTCTCCTAACTCAGAAGCACAGTTTAAGTAACTTGAACTGTGAGAGGCCAATAGTAGTGAGCTCATGGCCAATTTCACTATTTGTTTAACAAAAGCAGGTTCTCCTCTAAATTCAGAGATGCCCATGAGGTGGGTGCCATCCTGAGCACTCTGGTAGGCATCCTGCCATCAACCTGGAGAAGTTCTTTTTCTGAGATTCCAGGGGCAGCTACAGCACCCATGGAAATAGCCTCTGCAGGCTGAGTTGGTGTATGGGGTGCCTAGACAGGGAATCCAGAAAATCGTCTTGCACAATGATTCTTTGCTTTTTTGGATCACATACCCGCATGAGAATCTGTTTAATGCATGGACTCCTCTTCCCAGAAGTGAGCATATGTTCATGTATAATTTTATATAAAGTATAAAGTGCTGTCATGAACCCCCTGAAGTCATTAAATAGACTTCAGGTTAAGAGCTGTTGGCACCAAATCATGATCTTTCTCTTATTCCCGTTTATATTCCCAGCTTGAACTGTGCTAGGCCAGTAAAAGAAGTAGGGGGATAGGACTGATACAGTTGCCAAGATGATCAGTGGGGGAAATGTTAAAAATAAAGTGGGTGTTGCAAATCTATAGAGACAGAAAATAAATTAGTTGGCTGCCTAGGGCTGGGGTGAGGTGGGGGAGAGTGACTACTCATGGGTGTAGGATTTCTTTTTGGAATAATGAAAATGTTCTAAAATTAGATTGTAGTGATGGTTGCACAACTTTGTGAGTATGCTAAAAGCATACTGAAAGTATACTAAATTGTATATTTTTAAATGGGTCAGTTTCATGGCATGTGAATTACATCTCAAAGCTGTTTTTAAAAGTGGATGTTATAAGAAACAAAAAAAGTGTTTCAGCAGAAACTTACAATAAACCTTGTATGACCAGAGATAATGGGTGGCCTCCTTATGCACTGCCTTCAATCAGGAAGGAACTAGGGGGATTTCTGGTTAAAGGTCATTGGAGTTTTTCTCATCATGGAGAGATGTATGGAGAGGTGTGTTTAGGTCTCCTGAAGAGTGGAATGTGGAGGACCACCCATAAGACTAAAGAGTACTGGCTTGATCCAGTAGGATCTCTGCCTAACCCAATATTCTGTTTATGAGAACGATTCGACAGGGCGGCAATGGCTGTCCTCCATGACATTGCTTTAAACATTAGGAATATGATGCCAATTTTCTCAAATCCTTTCTCTTAATACACTATAGACTGTTAACTAATAAATTTATCTAACTCCATCTTGAATCAATTTCTATGTCAGCATACTCTAACAAATTCCATCTGCATCCTACTTTGCTTTGCATGATTTTGCTCATGCAGAGGCAGAGCCTGGTTTAGAGATCCTCAAGGGCTGTGTATCTCTGATTCTTACCACCCCCTTTTCCATGATGCTGTCAAAAGCTTCTTTTGAGTAGAGTCAAAAGTTTCCAATTCTCCTTTATCTAAAAGGCTTTTGCTTCCACTGCCTTTCTTGACTCTCGCCCTGGTTCTAGCTTGGAAAACCAAGCTGATCTGTATTGTGTACTGGTATCTTGGATATATAGTCAGGGGCTTCTGGGGCATCATTTCAGTACGCACACACGACAGCCTTCACTAGGTTTCAGAACTTGATCTGGTTCAGTTTTTTACATCATGAAACTGAGATCCAGAAAGAAGAAACATATGTCCAGGGCCACATAGCTAGCCAGTGGCAAGACTAAAAGTGATACATGTCTTCATTCCCAACCATTCTGCTTTCAGAACTACCAGGCTGCCCCCCAGACCCTCTGTCACGCTCATCTCAGCACTTTCAGCCTTCTTCTTCTGGTTTTCTTTGTGGGTTGACCTAGCACTTACCTCACCATCCTGTCTGGTCTCTTCTCCTTCATCCTGGTCAGGTTCGAACTCTGTGCCCCGGTCTACAACATCCACACCAGCATGCACCCTGGGCTTCTCATTTTCCCATTTGGCAAAGCCTTTGTCCTTTGCTGCTTTGTCATGGAACTTGGATTTCATTTTAGGGAAGGTGTGGGACCCTGAGTCCCCCCAGCCAGCCTCTGACCAGACAGGTTCAGTCTGGGTGGCCTGGCTGGTGGTGGCCCTCTGTAGCCTCACGGAGATCTTGCGAGAAGAGCCTGTAACCAGTGTGATGGCTCTGCTGTCTAAATCCCTGTGTCCAGCAGTGACTCCAGGGAACTCAAACACCTCATCCTGTGCTGGAAGTGAAAGAGGATGGTGATTATTTGACATCTGACTGCTTGATAGCAAAGCATCAAGGATAGTGCAAACAGCACGAGTCTGGCATGCAAGGTCCTAGAGGAACCGACAAGGAACAGAACTCAATTAGCTGTAGGCAAGCTACATGTTCCTGAGACTGGAAAGCAGAGAGAAGCAAGGATGATTCAAGGGTTCAGCCACTGCTGCTCACCCTAAAGAGGGCCTTAGCATTTAGAGAGGCTGACTGGGTTTAGACCCAGAACCTAAATGAGGTCCAAGTGTGAGGAGGTAAGCAGAGAGAGACCATGGCAGCGAAGAAGGCAGAGGGCATTACCTGGGGGCAGCGAGGGGCTTCCAGGCAGTGACCCATGACCACTGCTCAAAGAGGGCGCCCGGGCAAATCTCCTGCAGGCCAGAACCAGGAGGTCTTTGCACTGTTTGTGACAATTGGCTCCACAGTCTGAAAAATTCCAAGGGTGTCGCAGATGATTAGTGTGTCTGATGTTGATTGAGTTTCCAGGGTGGCACTTGATTTTTCAGCCCTCCCCTCCCCAACCCCAGTTTCTGTGTTGAATTTCAGAGTTGAGCTCAGGCCCATGGGTGTGTCTAGCATCTGGAAAGGGGCCATTGGTCCACACTTGCCTTCCTGAGGTTCCGAAAGTTCTCTTACATTTGCTCAGCTTGATTCTCTATGCAATTGAGGACCTAATGAGCAATTGTGCCTAGGGAGCAAATAGAGTCCAGCCTGAGAGGTCAGTTGCCTTTGCCCAAAACTAAATGCAAATCAAATGGGGTTGAGAGTCTTTCTCAGGCTTAGATGGAATCCCCACAAAGAGAGCCTAAGGCAGGATGAGGGCAAGAAGCCTCAGCTTCTAGTCTCTCCCAGGCCAACTGCTGCCTCTGATCATTTATTGTGAGGTGTTCCTCCATTCAGCACTTGTCTGGACTTTTTTACTCTTCTTCATTTTGCAAAACCTTTCAGGGCCAGTGATTACATCTTCTGCTTCCTTCCTTTGTTTAGAAACAGAATACAAGATGGGCAGATGCTCAGTAAATATGTTCTGTATTTGCTTATGCTTTGAAACGGTATGCAGTAGAGTCTGTGAAATTGCCCATTAGGATGTTTTAGATAAGGTAATAGAATGTTAATTACTACTTAGGGTAGAAAAATGTGGCCACTTCAGATGGTGGTTCCCAATTATTTCCTATGGTGAGGGTCCTACACTTCACTGAGAATCACTGAATAGAGATCATCATTTCTCTCCTACCGTCCAAGAGGACCTTTCTAACTATTTCCAATACCCATTTTCCCCTAAGTGATCTTGTTTCCAAAAAGTCTTAATGACGTGTTCAATTTATTTTAATTAGTTTTTTTCTTCACTTTATATGTCATTAAGAAAATACAAGAGATAATCCAAAGGTATAATATATTTTCATCTTTATAAAATTGCATGTGTGTGTGTGTGTGTGTGTATTTTAGGGTATGAGGATAGAAACCAGAATAAAACGAATGACTCACTGCTGGGCAATAAGTTCTTGCAGTATCTTTGCTGCTTGAAAGTAAAAATCTAAGTTAGACCAAGGCAAGTGATAGAGAAGCACTAATGGGAAGGTACTTCTGAGCGTTAAACAGTGGCTTCCATTGAGATTTGGGAAGTTTTTTGTTCATGCAAAATGAGGAGCAAATACTGGAAAATAACTGGAGAAAAAAGGCATGCTAGGGGAACAACATTCATCTGAAGGTATTCTGTGATTAAGATGTTTCTTTTTGTAGTTTTGTTATATTTTTCAAAAGCATTGTAAGATTCTTAAAAGAACCATATAAACTGTCCGCATAGTGTCCAGCAACTTCTTAAATAACAATAATGTGTACTTGATCATATATGTACAAGTAGCAACACATTCCTAAATGCTTAATATACATGCATATAGCATTTGTCAAATATATTTTATTCAATTGTTTATAAACTTAATTAAATGGGAAATATAGAGGAATGCATTCACTGAAAAGGACAAAAATACATTTTAAGTTTTCTCCTTGTTTTCTGTTACCATCTATGTGATTTAGTAGAGAAAAGAATAGCTAAGTGTGAGTGGGAAGAAGTGCCTATGGATTATAGAAATAGTAAGTAGTGTTTTTCTTTGAAGGAAAAATTTCTTATATACAATATTTTAGCTAGGCTTGTCCCACTCAGAATTCCCACCTTAACTGGATGCCTCTGATTCAAAAGAACTAGATTTATGTGTGTTGATAAAATTCCAATTTTAGCTCTCCAAAACTCCAGGAACTCCTCCTCAGAGGCAATCATTCTCAGTTGCCGTTGACCCAAAAGACTGAAATTCTGAATAATGTCAAGAGCTTTTGTAGTTTAACCAAATTTGACTCTTAACCAAAATGTCACATTTTAAAAATTTTAACAAAATAACATTGATTTACCTTTGCATTTGTATCCTTGCTTGATTATGCCCCAGAGCTGTAACAAAAGACAAAGGAATGTCAGGGAATCTGAGGATAGATCTGGAAGGAAAACAAGGCCACTGAGAAGGAAGTCCTGGGAAGCTTCATGACTAGCCAGGCACAAACAGGATGTAGCCACTCTTAACACCCTTCCTGCCAGATAGAAGAACCCTCTCTGGGCCCCTTCCAGCTATGGTGATAACATGAGTTTCATTTCCCTTTTCTTTCTTGGAGCCAACTGGGAGCCGGGATGGGAAACTACTAAAGTTTGATGCACCAGACTTTGGCCTGATGCGCTCTCGGCAAAACGTACAGAGGAGATGGCCACTTGGTCTTTGGGAGCCCCTGGCTCCCTCTTTTTAATGACACTAGCTGCTCTTGGTACCCACTACAGGAAATGAAGCAATGGAAGAAGCGCGCCTCACATGAAAGCATTTGGATTTTGCTAGGTTATTTTCTGAGTAGTATTTGTCCCATGGAAAAATACAGAAGAGGAAATGATCTTAGTTATTCATGTCTTCATTCTCCACATTTGCTCTATGTTTGGCCTGTGCCAGGGCTGTAGGAGATGTCGAAAAAGCTCAGATTCTACCAACCAAGGAGTCTGTGACTTCCTTGTGGTTAACGAGTAGGAAGTGACAAATCCCTGAGGCGAGATGTGAGGGCCCACAGTTCCAGGAGGGAGCATTTGCCCGGGGTGGGAGGTTCAGAGGCAACATTCTGGTGGTGGTGTCTTCGCTCTCCAGACAGACTCCTAAACACCATAAAGAAGAGGGCCTTGCTATGCCCTTCTATGCCTCCCCACAGATCTTGCACGGGGTGACGGATTCACCAGAGGTGTACAGTATGGGTAATTAAATGGGCTTAGCTCAAGTTGGAGAAGAACTATTGCTAACCTTTTCGTGTTTGGGTTAGGTGGCTATTATTTACTTAATAAAATGATGTCGAAAAAAGCAGGGCCCACTGGGACTGATGGGGGTGCCGTTCACAATGCTCACAGTGTATTATAAGCGAACAATGCCCCCACATGTGGGCAGCATGGCCCGCTCTTGCAGAAGAATAAGTCACAGCCAATGTGAAGTGACTCAAGAGTACAGGAAAACTCCTTACTTCTTCTTGACAAGGAACTTCCGCAAGTAGAAAACTAAAATTCCTTTGAGCCTTAACAGCTATTCGGTCCTTCAGAATACATATTAAAATGCAAATGTTGGCCAGGTGCGGTGGCTCATGCCTGTAATCCCAGCACTTTGGGAGGCCGAGGCAGGTGGATCACGAGGTCAAGAGATCAAGACCATCCTCGCCAACATGATGAAACCCCATCTGTACTAAAAATACAAAAATTAGCTGGGCATAGTGGTGCATGCCTGTAGTCTCAGCTACTCAGGAGACTGAGGTAGGAGAATCACTTGAACCTGGGAGGTAGAGGTTGCAGTGAGCCAATATCCACTGCACTCCAGCCTGGTGACAGAGAGAGATTCTATCTCAAAGAAAAAAATAATAATAAATAAATAAAATGCAAATATCTCCTAGGACAGAGCAATATTTTGTCTTGGGGACAGGAAGGATTATTTGACAACTAAGTAGAAGCAAGGATGGCTGGAAGACAGGGAGGCATGATCCAGAAAAGGGCAGTGGTGGCCAGGATCATCACAGCTTGATCTTTACGATAATCTAGTTTGCTTCTCTTTTGTAAAAGGTGAATGTGATGATCCAGGAAGTTAGATAATTTCCAATCTCCCACAACCTGGAAATTCTTTCTCCAGAGCCCTTGGTAATGATAATAGCAATCATAATGATGATAGCTAACATTTCTTGAACTCTTGCTATGTGAGAGGCACAGTTTTAGGGTCTTTATACATATTAGCTTGTTTAATTGCTCATGATGTCCTTATGGTATAGGTAATAATATTTTTCTCATTTTTACAGACAAGGAGACTGACCTGCAGAGAGGTAAAGTCTGTTGGCAAGGTCTCATAGCTAGTAAGGGAGAGAAGAATGTGTCACTTGAGGGAAAGACAGGAAGCCACTGCTCCTGCATACTCTGTGTGTGAGCAAAGGCACTGAGGTGGGACAAGAAAGGATTTAAGAAGAGACATCCTAATATCCAGATATGTTACATTATTAGCATTGCTGCAGGAACTGCTGAAAAACATACAGTCAAGCAAGAGTGCTGGGGGGGCGGGTGAGGAGGTAGGTTTGCTGATGCTTACTTAATAGCCAGGAACAAACAGTAGCTAGGACGAGGCACTGGGCCAGTATGCCTGCCAAGAACAGGAGAGGATGAACTCATGTGGATGGGTATGCGGGAGTATTTCCCACAGTCCTTGGATTTGAGACCACCGGCTGCTGTCATATTTGGAGTAATTGTAGTGTAAGGAGCACTGGACTGAGAGTCAGGAGACCTGGGTGTGACTTATGGTTTTGCTGCTAATGATCTGTGTGACCTTGGGGGAAGTCACTTAACTTCTCCAGACCTCAGTTTCTTCATCTACAAAATAAGGGAATTACTAACACTCTTTCAGTTCTGGAATTCTAATTCTAAAATAAATCTTCTGCAGAGCAAGTCTGTTTGTCTTCCTTAACCTTAAAATGGAATTTATTTTAAAAGCAGATGGTTCCGGCACTGGAACCATTCTCCCACAATTCCTTTCAATGACACATCTATAGAGCTATAGTTATAAATTCCTTTGAAAACCAATGGGCTTTTTAACATGAGTGTCAGTAAAGATCAACTCAAATCGTACCAATAAAATTAAATATATTTTAAAAACAAAAACAGCTGTAAAAATTTTAAATGAGTAAATTTCAATTAAACTATCAAAGTATCAAGGAATACATAAAAAATGTGTACTCCAAGCCATGTGACGTGCAACATGTCTAATAGTATTTTATCATGCAACAACATGGTGGGTAAGTATCTACAGATAGAAATAGACTCAAAGATGGTGAATGACTTGGTCAAAGACATAGAGTTAGCAAGGGCAAAACAGAAATTTAACCCAGGGTTCCAGACTCCAGGTCCAGAGCTTTCTACTTCATCACAGCGGCATCAAGAATACAGCACCAGCATCTCTGCTCCAATGAGTTAGGGGGACAGGTGTGGAACTTCCAAGAAAGTCTACCTTGCTGCTCCCACAGAACCAGGGCCTCTGTAGAAGGGAGGAACAGGACAGAAGGACTTGAGAGCAGAGATAAGACCTTGAGTTTGTTTGTTTTTTGAGACGGAGTCTTGTTCTGTTGCCCAGGCTGAAGTGCAGTGGCATGATCTCGGCTCACTGCAAGCTCCACCTCCCAGGTTCACGCCATTCTCCTGCCTCAGTCTCCTGAGTAGCTGGGACTACAAGCACCCACCACCACACCTGCCTAATTTTTTATATTTTTAGCAGAGATGGGGTTTCACTGTGTTAGCCAGGATGGTCTCCATCTCCTGATCTCATGATCTACCCGCCTCGGCCTCCCAAAGTGCTGGGATTATAGGCGTGAGCCACCATGCCTTTCTGAGTTTTTATTATTATTATTATTATTATTATTATTATATTTAGAGATGGCAGCGGCGGGGGTCTCTCTATATTGCCCAGGCTGGAGTCGAACTCTTGGGCTCAAGCTATCCCCCTGCCTCAGCCTCCCGAGCACCTAGGGCTACAGGTCCATGCCAAAGCACCCAGGACCTTGAGATTTGGTAAGGGCCTTCTGACTCTCACAGCCCACCAAAAGACAGATGCATCATCCTGACTTTTGGCTGAGCCATGCCATGGCCCAGCAGCCTGACCTTTTGTTCACTGGGTCCCACTGTGTAGCAGTGTGTTACCCACGGCCCCATCCCACATCAGAACTTTCAGGTCTAAGTACTTCCAAAGATTTCCATCAGAATAGAGAGACTAGAGAAACATGAGAAAGGAGATCATTTTGTTTTGTTTTGTTTTGTTTTGTTTTGAGACTGAGTCTTGCTCTGTCGCCTAGGCTAGAGTGCAGTAGCACGATCTCGGCTCACTGCAACCTCCTCCTCCCAGGTTCAAGTGATTCTCCTGCCTCAGCCTCCTGAGTAGCTAGGATTACAGGCACCTGCCACCATGCCCTGCTAATTTTTGTATTTCTGGTAGAGATGGGTTTTCCCCATGTTGGCCAGGTTGGTCTCAAACTCCAGACCTCAGGTGATCCGCCTGCCTTGGCCTTTCAAAGTGCTGGGATTACATGCGTGAGCCAATGCGCCTGGCCAACCATTTGTTTTATGATAAAATGGTCTGGTCATGCAATCCCAGTGGACATACTAAAGAAGAACTTCACCTTCTCTGCAGTGAATAAAGAGAGCTAGTTAGACTGGCTTTGCCCTGTGTCACATCAGCTGCTATGACCACCTGGGACCATCTTTGAGGTAATGGCTGCCTCTTATTTACCCATTCTCAGAGGAGTGTGTGCTTGAACACAGACTCCTGCATTTGGCCCCCCAAAGCCAGTTCTTTGAGCCTGGGATGGGAAAAATGTAATTTCTAGTAGTGTATAATATTGGCAACAAATTCAATATGGGTGAACAAGTCAACAGGAGGACATGGCTGCCAAATAAAGCTGACACGACTGAGCTCTGGCATCTAGAAAAAGGGGTGACTGTCACTGGGCGTGGTTGCTCACTCCTGTAATCCCAGCACTTTGGGAGGCCGAGGCAGGCAGATCACAAGGTCAGGAGATGGAGACCATCCTGGCTAACACAGTGAAACCCCATCTCTACCAAAAACACAAAAAATTAGCCAGGTATGGTGGTGGGCGCCTGTAGTCCCAGCTACTCGGGAGGCTGAGGCAGGAGAATAGCGTGAACCCAGGAGGCAGAGTTTGCAGTGGGCCAAGATTGTGCCACTGCACTCCAGCCTGGGCGACAGAGCAAGACTCCATCTCAAAAAATAAAAATTAAAAAAAAGAAAAGAAAGAAAAAGGGGTGATTGTCATACTCATCTGGGTGCTGGGCCTCCCTCACCTGGAATACCGCATTTTCCATTGTATTTAACTTGGATATCAACTGGAAGACATTCAGGGCCCAAGAGTTTCTGTTAAGGCCAGGATCAAAAACTGACTTCACTTCCCAAAGAATTATTAAAGGTGGGGGAAGGAACCGTGCAGTCTTCATTTGTTGCAGTGGTGTAGGTGAAGCACAGGGCTGACAGTCAGTACACCTGTGTTGGAGTCCAAGCTCTGGTAATGATTAGCTGTGCAATCCTCAGGAACCTGGGTTATCTTCTTTGAACCTCTCTATCTTCATAAGCAAGATGGTGAAAGTAAAATACCCACTTCAAGGGCTTTGCTATGAGGATTAGTTACCATAATGTCTATGGAAGTACTTTGTTACCATCAAGCATTCAGTAAATGTTATTTATTATTATAACCAGCTTCTCTCCAAAAAGATTTTCTCTTCTTTTTGAGTTGTGAATTATTGAACCATGCCATGATGGATTTCTGGTCACTAATACCACATGAAATGAAAACTGGAAGGAACTCGCTAAGATAAATGCACCTCTTAATTGCAACCACTTATGAATATTAGTGATAATGCCAGGGCTCATTGAGCTGACACTTTTCCCTGGCAGGGATTAATAAACAAACCCACTCTCTTGAGTTAACAGCCAACCTTCCCTGTTTTTGCTAGCCCTGCATTACTAGAAAATAATGAAAACTTGCCTTTGGTGTTTAATCTTTAATTTCAGGGAGGCATCACGTTTTACGTCTGATTCAAAGCAGACAGTGAACTTTATTTGGTGTATCATTTTCCTACCCTTTCAGAATGCCACACAAATAACTACTTATGTAAGAAAACAACGGAAAACAGACTTACGAATCCTGCACAGTGTTCGCAGAAGGTTGGTTTGAGATAGGTCATCTCCTGAAAATTATGGATAAACCCTGGTCCCATTTTACAGTGTAGTTGGGATTTCGCTCTCAGGAAGTAAGCCATCATTTCATCTTTACTAATTAGGCCATCCCTGTTAAGAGAATCAAAGAAGGGAGGGATCTTTGAGTATCAGGTTGCTATGTAATTGCCACACTTTAATCACCCACCTCCCAAACCTTTGTGGCCAAAAGCAGATAAGGAATATTCATTTCTCTATTACATCTCAGAGAAAGGGCGAACCTCAAAAGGCATCTTCAGGTGTTCAAAGCCTTTTTCAGTGAGCAGAAACTTGTGTATGTGTGCACCCTGCATGTGTGTGTGTGCAGGAGCATATTCATGTAAGCACACATGTGGCCTGTGCACCGTGGCACAGAAAGTCTTTGTTATGAAAAGCAGCTTCCTGAGGGACATCTTTCTAGTCCTTGCCTAGCTGTAAGGTTGCAAGAATTAGGACGATAGAGAAAGGCAGAAAACTGTAATAACTGAGCTGACCATTCTCAAATTCATTCAGCTTGATGCTGTCCAAGCTTCTTGGTGATATTTTCACTCACATCTTAGTGGCTCGTACCCCATTCACTGTGACTGACTGGGAGCAATTCTTCCAGTTCTACTCCACATAGAACAAACCTCTGGTTCTTCCCACCTTCCTACCCCTACTCACCACATACTCTGACTTCTTGTTTATCAAAAATGATCCAATTGGCCAGGTGCGGTGGCTCATGGCACTTTGGGAGGTAATGGTAATCCTAGCACTTTGGGAAGCCAAGGTGGATGGATCATTTGAGGTCAGGAGTCCAAGAACAGCCTGACCAACATGGTGAGACCCGTCTCTACTAAAAACACAAAAATTAGCTGGGCATGGTGACGTGTGCCTGTAATCCCAGCAACTCAGGAGACTGAGGCATGGAGGCAGAGATTGCAGGGAGCTGAGATCACACCACTGCACTCCAGCCTGGGCAACAGAGCGAGACTCTTTCTCAATAAATAAATAAATAAATAAATAAATAAATAAATAATAACAATAATTGGATCCACTTGACACAGGTGAGCTCCATATTGCTTTTTGTCCATTAGCATGTGCTGGCGATCACACCTTTCCTTTCCAGTTCAGAATTCTTTTCTACCTCCTCTGTCCTCCCTTGGGGCTCCTCTCTTGGAGGAAATGTTGCCCCATCCAGCACTCTCCAGCCTCCCCAGGACTCTCCTCCTTCCAGGTTATGCTAAGTCTCTTTCCGTTTCTTTCCCCGTTCACAAATATGCTCAGGACTTTCCCACCTGAAAAATCCCCTTCCTCAGTCCTGCCACCATCTCCAACAGGTGTCTTTTCTCTCATCCTTCTTTTACTCCCGAAGTTTTCAAAAAGAGAAATCATTAGGGTCTTTTATCATTTCCTCCAGGTACTCTTTATACCACTTGGATTTCTAACCCTACAAATCTGTCACCAAGAACATCCTCAGTGGCCTTTTCTCATTGGCAGGAGGTAACATGGAGACATGTTTCCTTCTTTCGGCGCTCTCCCCTTGGGAACCCTGGAATTGCATGCCACCCCGCTTCTCCTCCTTCCTCTCCAGCTCCCCCTTCTCCAGCTCACCTGCAGGGCCCTCTGACTCCTTTCAATGACTGCATGTAGGAGGGGAGTCCCTGAAGGCTCATTCCTCAGGCCCCAAGCTCACCTCCCTCTAAGCGTTCCCACCAGAGTTTGCTCACAAGATCGCGACTCCAGCTTACAGTGGGGCTGAAGACTTCATCTCCATCCCCAGCCCTGACTGTTGTCCTGAATTTTTGCACCACATCTTCAACAACTTGCTAGACCTCTCTTCCTGATAATCCACTCTCTGTCTCAATCAACGGATTTAAGTCCAACTTCATCTCTTTCTTCCCTGTACTCCCTGCCCAGGCTTCCCTGTTGCTGTTTGCTGTGCCACAATTTTCCCCCAGGCTTGAGAATTTGAGATCCCTTTCTTACCTCCTATGCAAAATAACTTTGATTTTTGTACATTATAAGTATTATTATTAAAGTTATTTTGCATAGGAGGTTAAAAAAAAAAAAAAGGATTCTAAATTCTCAAGCCTACTGGGAAATTATGGCACAGCCTAGCACCCAACAGTTATTTTTTCTGCTCCTCCGACCATCCATCCACCATCAAGGAGGCACCAGTGTCTATTATTCCCTTCTTTGTGTTCTTGAGTTCTCCTCATTTAGTTCCCACTTAGAAGTGAGAACGTGTGGTATTTGGTTTTCTGTTCCTGCGTTAGTTTGCTAGGGATAATAGCATCCACTTCCATCCATGTTCCTGCAAAAGACATGATCTCGTTCTTTTTTTTTTTTTTTTTGAGACAGAGATTTGCTCTTGTTGCCCAGGCTGGAGTGCAATGGCGTGATCTTGGCTCACCACAACCTCTGCCTCCCTGGTTCAAGGGATTTTCCTGCCTCAGCCTCCAGCATGTGCCACCATGTCTGACTAATTTTTGTATTTTCAGTAGAGATGGGGTTTCTCCATGTTGGTCAGACTGGTCTCGAACTCCCGACCTCAGGTGATCCGCCTACCTCGGCCTCCCAAAGTGTTGGAATTACAGGCATGAGCCACCGTGCCTGGCAATCTCATTCTTTTTTATGGCTGCATAATAGTCCATGGTGTATATGTACCACGTTTTCTTTATTCAATCTATTATTGATGGGTATTTAGGTTGATTACATGACTTTGATATTTGAATAGTGCTGCAGTGAACACTCACATGCCTGTGTCTTTACTACAGAATGATTTCTATTCCTCTGGTTATATACCCAGTAATGGGATTGCTGGGTTGAAGTGTAGTTCTGTTTTTAGCTACTTGAGGAATCGCCATACTGCTTTCCACAATGGTTGAATGAATTACACTCCACCAACAGTGTATAAGTGTTCCCTTTCCTCTGCAGCCTCGCTAGTATCTGTTATTTTTTTACTTTCTCTTTTTATTTTTTAATTTTTTTTGAGATGGAGGCTCGCTCTATCGCCCAGACTGGAGTGCAGTGGTGCGATCCTGGCTCACTGCAAGTTCCGCCTCTCAGGTTCACGCCATTCTCTTGCCTCAGCGTCCTGAGTAGCTGGGACTACAGGCCCCCGTCACCATGCCTGGCTAATTTTTTGTATTTTTAGTAGAGACGGGGTTTCACCATGTTAGCCAGGATGGTCTTGATCCCCTGACCTCGTGATCCACCTGCCTCAGCCTCCCAAAGTGCTGGGATTACAGGCGTGGGCCACTGCGCCCGGCCAAGTTTTTGCCTTTATAATAGCCTTTCCTAGCTGGGCACAGTGGCTCACACCTGGAATCCCAGAACTTTGGGAGGCCAAGGCAGGTGGATCACCTGAGGTCAGTAGTTCGAGACCAGTCTGACCAACATGGACTAGTCTGGCCAACATGATGGAACCTCGTCTCTACTTAAAATAATAATAATAATAATAATAATTGCCTGGCGTGGTGGCACATGCCTGTAATCCCAGCTACTCAGGAGGCTGAGGAATGAGAATCACCTGAACCCAGGAGGCAGAGGTTGCAATGAGCTGAGATTGTGCCACTGCACTCCAGCTTGGGCAAAAGAACAAGACTCTGTCTCAAAAAAAAAAAAAAATAATAATAATAATAATAGCCATTCTGACTGGTATGAGATGATATCTCACTGTAGTTTTGATTTGCATTTCTCTAATGATCAGTGATATTGAGCTTTTATTCATATGCTTATTGTCCACATGTATGTCTTCTTTACAGAAGTGTCTATTTGTGTCTTTTGCCCACTCAAAGGAACGGGCACTGATTTCATAATGAAGATGCCAAAAACAATCTTTATTATATATATGATAAATAAATTTATTAATGCATTGTCTCACAAATTTATGACATCATTTGCTATGTAAATTTGTGTAACAGTACATTAGCCCATCTCCCCTCCTAGGGACTCACAACGTAACACACTTTAGCCTATTAAAAGCTTTGGGAAGTCACACAGTAAAGACACCTATTTAATGAGATTTAACCCTGTGTTTCTCACATGTGACTAGTTAGTTCCTTTTTCAAAAGTACTAATTGATAGCTACTTCTGTGGAACATCATTTGGAAAACAGTACCTTAGAGAAAACATCTTTTTGAGACTTTCCAGTATTAACCACTCAAAACTTTAGTGTCATGTAAGCAAGATATGAAGAGTTCAAACCTTCATTCATAGAAAACAATTCTATAGATATCAGTAAGTAGAGATAATGATGATATATAGAGAGAGATAGATGCAGATATTTGCTAGGACAATCTCAATTCTGTCTCTAGAACCAACAGATAAAAGAAATGAAGACTGGGAAGTTATTTTAAGTCAATGTCCTATTTACATGTCACTAATAGTAACAAACTAAGCAAAGAAGTGGGTAGTTAGCAGGCAATTTAAATTTTACTTTGTGAAGGAAGTTAATGTTTCTAATAGAATTTATTTTAAAAGTATTCTTTGTTCTGGGTATATAATGAAGATGAATTTAAGATTTTAAGTTATGTTAATGTGTCAAGGCTTTTCTTGGTGTGTTGAATTACAGATTTTATTTTCTTAAATTCAATTACGAAAAAATGGCTAGAGACAAGGTCCCACCATGTTGCCCAGGCTGGTCTGAAACTTCAAACGATCCTCCTACCTCAGCCTCCCAAAATGCTGGCATTACAGGTGTGAGGTATCACACCTGGCCCCAGATTTCATTTTTTAAAAAAATCTCATACCAGCAAAAATATTAGAGAATTTTAATGTAATTTCATTTGCCCATTTACCAAAACAAAATCCAGCATTTCCTTACAGGTGATTTTTAAATTAGGAACTAATCTTGTACAATTAACAATCAAATTATTAATGCCAGGATTTCTCATCAGTTTTTTTTCCAAATCATTATTTTCTTTTAATGAGTTGAATTTTAGTCTCTAAAGCGGTTTAATTTTTAGGAATCATTTGACACTAAAAAGCAATATATTTTTTCTTCATTTATCAAGACAACCTTTGATCAATCAAAGAAAAAAGCACGAATGCTTCTTGGCTATCTGCAGCTATTGTCTGCTTTAATGAAGACTATAAGTTTTGTTTTTTTTTTTTTGAGACAAAGTCTTGCTCAGTCACTCAGGCTGGGGTACAGTGGTGCTATCTCAGCTCACTGCAACCTCTGCCTCCCAGACTCAAGCGATTCTCCCTCCTCAGCCACCCAAGTAGCTGGGATTATAGGCCTGTGCCACCACGCCCAGTGAATTTTTGTATTTTTAGTAGAGACAGAGTTTCGTCATGTTGGCCAGGCTGGTCTTGAACTCCTGGCCTCAAGTGATCTTCCTGCCTCAGCCTCCCAAAGTGCTGGGATTACAGGCGTGAGCCACCATGCCTGGCCAAAATTTTTTTTTTAAATGCTCATGAGTTTTAAGATTGCCTTCAGGTCCACTAATGCCAAAGATTCTCCCAAGTTAGATCTAATTATATTTCTCCTCTACTCTTTTTTGGTGGAGATTTTTTGGGGTTGAGAGCTAAGCAATAGAGGCAATATAGCAAGTGGAGTGCTTGGATAATTTACAAATATGCACTTGTGCTCAACACTGACAACACGGTCTCCCCTGTGATTCCATTCAGGTCATGTTCATACACACCAAGAAAATAATCAGTGACAAATTAAAACTGGCTCATCAAAGCACTAGGGTTGAAGCTGTCAGGATGTAAATTAAAAGTTTCCCTTCTCTCCTCTGATAATAATTTTCTGCTTTAGGATAGCTGCAGTAAAATAAAACAAAATTAAAACTTACTGATCTTTGTCCAGCACACAGAAGGAATCCAAGAAGGGAAAATTGGCAGCTATACTTTCAAAGTCCTCTTGGGAAATGTACCCGTCATGGTCATGATCATAGTTTCTAAATACAGACTGCAAAGGAAAGATCAGTATTTATTGAATGACTATGAGGCAGGCTCTGCACTTGTTATTGTGAAAGTAATGATAACCAGCATATGGTCCTTTCTATCAAGGAGCTTAGAATCTAGTGAAAGATAACTAAGTCAAGAAGCCTTTATAACATAAGAGACAAGTAGTTTGCTGAGGATAAAAACAGAGTAATGGTTGGATGTGGTGGCTCACACCTGTAATCCCAGCACTTTGGGAGCTGGAGGCAGAGGTGGGAAGATCACTTGAGCCCAAGAGTTTGAGACCAGCCTGAGCAACATAGAGAGACCTCGTTGCTACAAATTTTTTTTTTAAATTAGCTGGGCATGGTGGTGCATGCCTATAGTCCCAGCCACTTGTGAGGCTGAGGCAGGAGGCTTGCTTAGCCCAGAAGTTCGAGGTTACAACAAGCCAAGATCACACCACTGCACTCTAGCCTGGGCAATAGAGTAAGGCATCATCCCAAAAAAATGAATTTAAAATAAAATTAAAAATAAAACTTGGGCTGGGCACGGTGGTTCACACCTGTAATCCCAGCACTTTAGGAGGCCGAAGTGGGTGGATCACCTGAGGTCAGAATTCAAGACCACCCTGACCAACATGATGAAAACTCCATCTCTACTAAAAATAAAATAAAATAAAAAATTAGCCAGGTATGGTGGCACAACGCCTGCAATCCCAGCTACTCAGGGGGCAGAGGTACGAGAATCGCTTGAACCTGGGAGGAGGAGGTTGCAGAGAGCTGAGATGGCACCATTGCACTCCAGCCTGGGCAACAATAGCAAAACTCCGTCTCAGTAAATAAATAAATAAAAACAGAGTGCTATTGGTAGTGGGGAAAGAGGAGGTAGATTAAGAAAGGTTTCCTGGGAAAAGCAAGGTTTAAACTGAAACCTCAGGGTTGAGTAGAAATTGGCTTAGTGAATTTACAAATTCCAATACCATGACAATAGAAAATAAAGTTTTAAGGTGTTATCTCAAAAAATAAACTGTACATTTAAGGCAATTCCAGTCAAAATCCCAGTAGGGATTTGTTTTAAATGGACAAATTGATTATAAGGTTCAAATCAAAGTGGTTATGTTGAAAACAGGCTAAAAATTATTTTAAATGAAGAGTAATGAGGCGGAACATGCCCTTTCAGAAATCAAATATTCTACACAGCTACACTAATCAAAACAACATGATACAAATTACCATGGAGAGTGGAGTCCAGAAACAAACCCATGTATATATAGGAATTTAAAATATCAAAAAGTGTCTTTTAAAATCCACAGAGAAATTATGGATTATCCAATAACCGCTACTGAGTTAAATGACTAATAATCTTACAAAATACATTACCTCCAAACTAAATTCTAGATGTATTATATATTATTTATTTATTTATCTTTTTAGATACAGGATCTCACTCTGTTGCCCAGGCTGCAGTGCAGTGGCATGATCATAGCTCACTGCAGCCTCAAACTCCTGGAATCAACCCATCCTCCTGCATCAGCCTCCCAAAGTGCTGGGATTATAGGCATGAGCCTCCGCACTAGTGTATTACATAGTTTAATGCAAAAAAACCCAAAGCTATCAAACACCAAAGATAAATAGATGAAAATATTGTTCACATTTCATAATCTTTGTGTGAAAAAGGGCTTTCTTAGCATGACATCAATGTCAGAAGCCATAAAGAAAAATATTTTATTTAACGAAATGCAAAAAATTTGAACCAAAAAAGCTCAATGAACAAATTCTAAGATAAATGTCAAACAGAGCAAGTTATTTGCAGCATATGCGAGAACAAAGACACAAAAGTCAAACGGGCAATCACCAAATAAAAATACAAATAGTCAATACATCCGTGGAAAGTTATTCAGCTCTGCTAATCATTACAGAAATATAAATGAAAATAAAATCTTAAAATACTGTAATTGATCATCTTCTAGGTTACTCTTGTATCAATTTAGTGAGGTAAATAGCCACAATATTTCTGGAGGACAATCAGGAATTTTAAGTGCCTACTCTCTGACACAGCAATTCCACTTCTAGGAATCTGTTCTAAAGAACTCGAAGAAAGTTGCATAAGACACACATGTATAGATGTATGTAGTATATCTGTGTTTATATATACATAGAGATAGAGAATAAAGTCATATAAGATAATCTACAAATTATCAGTGGTTATCCCTGGAGAATAGAATTACCAAGACCTGAAAGTAAAGCTTTTTATTTTCTATAATTTATGTAATGCTTTAATATTCTTGATGATTCTACCTTCCTTTATAATCAGAAAAGAACAAAAATGTTTCCCATTGCCCTCTGCAAAATTAGGTTTTCAAAAACTTTTGTAAGTTCTTTCTGCAAACACATGTACACAAATTTATATTTGATTTTGATTCCAGTTTTAATGAATCTCTCTCCTTTTCCCAGTAGTTTCTGTCTGTTCTATCTATCTATATTGCCCTGTGTTGCAAGTTGCTTCAGGAGTATTTTGGGAAGTAGTTAGGTATAAATGAATGAGTTAATTAAAAATATGACTCAAATGAGCCCATCTCAAGCTTTTTCATAGGTAACAGAATTGTGCAAAATCAGAAAACATTACCTTTTTATTTTTAAAATCCCAGTATCATTACTTAGCTATAATAAAAATAGCTTAAAAGTTAACTATTTTGGAATGCCTACTATTTATAGTTTAACTGCAAGTAGATTTTTTGTGGAGTAAAATTCATCATAAAATCCAGGTCTTTTGTTTGATTGAACCAATGGTAAGGAATTTGGAGAATAAGGAAGAGAGAGTAGGTAAGGAAGACAGAATGAGACAGAGAGAGAGAGAGAGCAGAGGAAGTCAGTATGTTAGAATGAGACTGGGAGAGGGAACAGCTCTGTCTTCCGTTTCCTGGCTTCAGACATTCCTGAGCTGCAACTCAGTCCTTGCATTCCCTGGGGGCCCCTGGATCCTTTTCTCACCTTCCCCAGCTCTAAGCTGGATCTGTTACTACCATAGGCTCCATTGGACCTTATCTCCTTCTCAGACCTTCCCTCACTAATATTCCTTTTGGCACCACCCTTTTCCTTCCTGCCTCACATGCTCCACAAAATTTTTCTTTCAGCACCTCCTAGTCCCCTAAATTATCCAAGATGTAAGACATTCTTTCTTTTTCTTTAAACATCTTCTCCCAGAAAAAAGCACATTCTGTCCCAAAGACTCAATTCTGTTGCACCAGCAGATGTACCTACCAATCCATTAAAGTCGACATTTAATTCAGGATCACAGTTTCCTGTACACTAGATGTTTCCGTGTTCCCCCGATTGGCACTTCTACTCTTTTTTCTACATGGAAAACTCTGACAGAGCCTTGTCCTACATTAGGTGATTTTTCTAATCTCAATTACATTGGGCTGCTGTGTCATAAAATTCCAAAACTATACAAAAGGAGAAACTATCCAACTTACAGGATTTCTTTGCTGCCCTTGGGTAATCAATTTATTGGGCATCTTAGTGGGACCTATGTGGGTTTTTCATGAGTGATTCTAATCCCCAATCCCTTGAGTTGTTGACAATGACAGAGGTGGCAAATGCCTGGGAAAGAGAATTGCTGGGAGTAGCTGAGAATATCTGGGCAAGAGAGAGTAGACTGACAACAAAGGGAAAAGGGCCTTCCTGATCGATTCTCCCCAGGGCCCAATGCCAGGTAGCACTAAGTGCCTGCTAAATTGTTCCTACCTGCCAGAGGGTTGTTTTCATAGATTCCATCAGATTCGTGGACAATCGCGGAATATTCTGGAAAGGGAAAGGGTCTTCAAGTGCCCTCTCTTTATTCTCCCTCAACCACTTACCTCAACTAATTTCCTTATGTGCTTGTTGATGACCGTGGGGTCTGGCTTTGGCATCACCCCTAATGCCCACTCGAGGGGCACCACAGGCTTGTTGGGTGTTGTAGGGGAGGTAGGCTGCTGACAAAAAACACACATATTTTTCAACTTTATTATTATTATTATTTTGAGACGGTCTGGCTCTGTCACCCAGGCTGGAGTGCAGTGGCATCATTTCGGCTCACTGCAACTTCTGCCTCCCGGGCTCAAGCCATCCTTCCACCTCAGCCTACCAAGTATCTAGGACTACAGGTATGTGTCACCACACCCAGCTAATTTTTGTATTTTTAGTACAAATGGGGTTTCACCATGTTGCACAGGCTGGTCTCCAACTCCTGGGCTCAAGTAATTCTCCGGCTTAGGCCTCCCAAAGTGCAGGGATTATAGGCGTGAGCTACCATGCCTGGCCATATTTTTCAACATTAACTGGGGCCTTGAGCAACTAGGAGGACCAGGGACACTGAGAAGAATGAATAAGTTTTGTATATTCATAATACCAGTAGAAACTTACATGTATGTATCTCTTAAATGCTTATAAAACAAGCATCTTATGTTGATGGAATCTAATCTGTAACTAAATACATGTTTAGATACTGCCTTTTGTTTAACAGCAACTTAAATTCTATTATTTTATTTTTATTTTTTATTTACTTTTTTTTGTTTTTTTGAGACAGAGTCTTTCTCTGTCACCCAGGCCGGAGTGCAGTGGCAAGATCTCGGCTCACTGAAATCTCTGCCTCCCAAGTTCAAGCGATTCTTGTGCCTCAGCCTCCTGAGTAGCTGGTATTACAGGCATCCACCACCAAGCCCAGTTAATTTTTGTATTTTTATTAGGGTTGGGGTTCCACCATGTTGGCCAGGCTGGTCTCAAACTCCTGACCTCATGTGATCCAGCTGCCTTGGCCTCCCAAAGTGCTGGGATTACAGGTGTGAGTCACCACACCCAGCCTAAATTCTATTATTTTAAATGGGAAAAAGCAGTGCACTCCCAGTCCGTCCAAAAATCCTATCCAAGTTCTCCAAATATCACTAAAACTTATGTATATAACAATCCATCATGGATTTTTGTGTAATACAGGATATAAAAACACCAGTTATCTAATTCTCTAACACTTAGTGATCAGTTATGGTGCATGCAGCAAATGGGTACCAGTGGGTGGCCAAGTTTATGTCCTCACCTCTGCACCCTGCTCAACACGCTTAAGCGCTTCTGACTGTTCTGCCAATCATTAGGTCTCTCTGGCCGTCTTTGGTGAACTCGCTTTCTCCACAGATTTTTCTGCATTCTCACAAGACATTTGCACATAAAACTGTGAGGAAGATGGTAGCATAATGCATAACATGCTTGGACAACACAAGCAGAAAACACAATCCTTTTAGGAGACCAGCCAAGACTGGTGTTCACTTTATATCCTCTTCCTGAAAGCTTCATACAATGTCAACATTTTTGCTGGTGCACACATGCAAATCTATTTTTTTTTTTCCTATCCTTTCTTTTTAATTTATATTTATAGAGGCTGGGCACAGTGGCTCATGCCTGTAATCCCAGCACTTTGGGAGGCAAAGGCAGGTGGATCACCTGAGGTCAGGAGTTCAAGACCACCCAGGCCAACATGGTGAAACCCCTTCTCTACTAAAGACACAAAAAACTTAGCTGGGTATGGTGGCACGTGCCTGTAGTCCAAGCTACTTGGGAGGCTGAGGCAGGAGAATTGCTTGAGCCAGGGAGGTGGAGTTGCAATGAGCTGAGATTATGCCACTGCACTCCAGCCTTGGAGACAGAGCAAGACTCCATTTCAAAAAAAAATTACATTTGTAGATATATATACGTGTGTGTGTGTGTGTGTGTGTATTTTAGAGACAGGGTCTCACTATGTTGCCCAGGCTGGAGTGCAGTGGTTATTCATAGGCACCATCCCACTACTGATCAGCACAGGAATATATATATATATACATATATCCTGTTAGTCCTGTCCCTCTAAGAGAATGCTAATACAATTATTTTCCCACTCCATCCCCTTTCCAGCTCCCCATCCTACTAAGAGCCACCTCTATCATTCAGTAAAACCTCTGCATTCACCATCCTTCAAGTCCGTGTGATCTGATTCTTCTTGGATGCCAGACAAGGACCCAGGTACCAAGAATGTTGGGTGTAAAAGCCTGTCACCCTGACTCTCCACTGAGCTGGCTAACACTTAGCTATCCATGGACAGCAACTGCTAAAACAGCATTAACTGTAACACACCCCTAAATGCTGTCTTGGGGCCAGAGCCCAAAAGCACTCTCCCCGGCCCCCACGACAGCACCCGCTTGTCTGCATGTTCCCCCTCCCGCAAGGGATTTGAATGTGGCCACACCCCTGTCACAAGTCTCAGTGAAGGGATCCAGGGAACTCTCCCATCTTATTAGGACATGTCAAATAGGCTGACACTCCACTTAGAGAAGAGACGGAAAGACTGGGAAATGTCTTGTGTTTAGATTCATAGGATTTTAGCACTTGGAAGGGACTTTTGAAAGCTTTTGCTCTTACAACAAATAAAAAGACTTTTGTATGTTTGATGGAAAAATCTCCTAAAATTGGAAAAAATTGATCCTGAAAATAAACTAAAGTAAAACTAAAGGCACACAAAGCAGACAAGTGTGCTAAAATGGCCATTCCTATGCTGTTCGTGAGATAAGGGATGGTAGAAGCAGAACTAGGATGGAAGACAGGCCTGACACTGAATCCCAGCTCTCCAACTTAGCAGCTGTTTGATCCGAGTGAGATACCTACTCTCACCAGACCTAGTTTCCTTCCTTCCTTCCTTCCTTCCTTCCTTCCTTCCTTCCTTCCTTCCTTCCTTCCTTCCTTCCTTCCTTCCTTCCTTCCTTCCTTTCCTTCCTTCCCTCCCTCCCTCCCTCCCTCCCTCCCTCTGAGATGGAGTCTTGCTCTGTTGCCCAGCCTGGAGTGCAGTGGCATGATCTCAGCTCAATGTAACCTCTGCCTCCTGGGTTCCAGTGATCCTCCTGCCTCTGCCTCCTAAGTAGCTGGAACTACAGACATGTGCCAGCAGGCCCAGCTAATTTTTGTATTTTTAGTAGAGACAAGGTTCACCCTGTTGGCCAGGCTGGTCTCAAACTTCTGACCTCAAGTGATCTGCCTGCCTCGGCCTCCCAAAGTGCTGGGATTATAGGCATGAGCCACTGCTCCTGGCCCAGACCTAGTTTTCTTAACAGAGTTAATAAGATAAACTGTGTATGATGCCCTGCCAGGCATTCAATAGCTGGAAGCAATTCTGGTGCCTAATTGGCACCAAGAGGTGGAAATTCTGTATGCACACATACAACAGGGCTTAACACACCATGGCCAGGTTCATCATGACAAAACTACAGAATTAGGGAGGGGCTTACAAATTCCTTTTTGGTTTTCAAAAGCTTTGGCTTTCTTGCTAGCTTCCTTAGTCTTGCTAGCTTTAAAGAGTCTGGGTCCTCACTCCTACCATTGCATGTGCCATATCATCCCGCATGGCTCTGTTCTGCAGTATTTCTAGGAGATGAGCCTCCTGAGACTGGCAGGAAGGAGAACATGCTCATGGAACCACATGCACTATTTTAAGAACAGATGCTACCAGCTCAACTGACTCAGACTCAAGTGCATGTCCTGCCAGGGCCAGAGAACAGCTCTCACTGCCATTTTGTCTCTTCGGTCTGATGGTTCAGAATCACAGTAGGTATTAATAAACCTAGGGGGCATAGTGACTATGTTATAGAGTTCAGCTGGTAAGGATGAGATCTTTATAAGAGAACTGATCTCAAGATGTGATTATAAGAAGCAAGCATAGGCATTTTATCTTCAACATGCAAGCCTCAACCTCACTATAAATGTTTCTGTTTTGTTTTGTTTTGGTTTGGTTTTTTTTGAGACAGAGTCTTGCTCTGTCGCCCAGGCTGGAGTGCAGTGGCACCAACTCAGTTCACTGCAAACTCTGCCTCCCAGGTTCACGCCATTCTCCTGCCTCAGCCTCCAGAGTAGCTGGGACTACAGGCGCCCGCCACCACGCCCAGCTAATTTTTTGTATTTTTAGTAGAGACAGGGTTTTACCGTGTTAGCCAGGATGGTCTCAATCTTCTGACCTTAGCATCCGCCCGCCTTGGCCTCCCAAAGTGCTGGGATTGCAGGCGTGAGCACCGTGCCTGGCCAACCTCATTATAAATTTTAAACTCATCCAGGCATTTTGTATTAGTGCAAAGCATAGCTAAAATATAATCCATCCACTAAAACCAATGAGTGGTATATATTCAATAATGCAATTTCTTCAATCTCATTATATAGTTTATTTACTAAGCGTTTGCCATCTACTAAGTGAGACACTATCCAATGTGATATCCAAATTCTGAGTTGAATCAATGGTTAGTAGAGAAATTCGTAAATTACGATCAAGATATTTAAAATTTTAAATCTAATTTTATGTTGAATGGAGCTTTTTTAAAGCTTGAAACAGTCTAAATGATCTTTAACATTAAGATGAGTTATTATTCTTTTCCTCTCTTTTTGGTCCTAGGTGTATTGAGTTCTTAGCAGGAACACAACAAATAGAAGATCAATTATAAAACAGAGTTATGAGAATGATGTTCTTCCTCTTTATTAGCCTCTGGTATGAAGACATAATTCTCAAACTGTCAGGGCTAAGCTGTCCCATTGATAAAATGGGAATGAATAATGGCTGGGCGCGGTCACTCACGCCTGTGATCCTAGCACTTTGGGAGCCACAGCGGGCGGATCACGAAGTCAGGAGTTCGAGACCAGCCTGGGCCAACAGTGAAACTCCGTCTCTACTAAAAATAAAAAAATTTAAAAAATTGCCAGGCATGGCAGTGTGTGCCTGTAATCCTAGCTACTCAGCAGCCTGAAGCAGGAGAATCGCGTGAACCCAGGAGGCGGAGGTTTCAGTGAGCCGAGATCGCACCATTGCACTCCAGCCCAGGTGATAGTGCGAGACTACGCCTCAAAAAAAAAAAAAAAAAAGAATAGTATCAATTTTTAAAATTCTTCCATTTTAGAACATAAAGCAACATTGTAATAGCCAATTACTATAAATGACAAAAAATAGTGAGTGGCACTGATCCTTAGAGAGAAAATAATACCTACCGATTTAGAATTTCTAGGCTCCAGCACCAGTGACAGTTTGTAAATATCATCTTCAGTGTGATAGAGGTCAAGGGAAAGCTACAACAAAATTAAAACGGATAAATATGTTGGATTACATTTATTTATTTATTTACGTTGCTGAATTTTTGTTCAGGTTGAATGTTTAAGTTCACTGTCTAATACAGGAATTTGAGTAAATGCAGAACAATAAAAAGACGACATGCAGAGATGGAAAATGAACTTTAAAAGAGCAAACGTTAATCCTGGTTAATCATCAGTATCGACGAGAACCATCAACTCAATTCCTCAGCAATATTTACTGAGCAGCTCCCAGGCGCTCAGTGCTGAGTCACAGATGAGGGCTACCTGATGTTTCCAGGCTGGAAGCGGGGACAGATGCAAACAATAAGACTTGTAAATGTAATAAATGCTGCTTTGAGGTTTGATTAAAGAACTGTGGAAATAAAGGAGCAGTTAACTAGGCTCCTATTATTTGAGAGCATTGTGCTAAGTCCTAGTGAGGCAAGCTGATATAAAATCATTCCTTGCCCTCAAGCACCTGATAATTTATTTGAATAAATAGGGCCTGAACCTAAAAAGGTGTGTTCATAGCAATAAAAGGCAGCACATGCTGAGTGTGAAGTAGTTGCCCCACTTTAAGTGCTCCAGGAACCGGTCAGAAATCAGGGAGGTAGCATAGTAAATACACGAGGGCAGAGGCTGTGTAGTCAGGCAGGGCTGGGTTCAAGCATGGAGCCTGCCACTGGCTAGCTGTGTAACCTTTAGCAAGTAATTTCCTCTCTGACACTCAGTTACCACATCTGGAAAATGGAAATGATCATAAAAGTCCCTACTGAGTTGGATTTGTATCAAGACCAAAAATGAAATAATGCATGTAAAGTATTTCACACAGGACCTGGTACACAGTAAAATCTCAAGAAGTGTTATTTTGTAATGTTAATGTTACTGTGTTATTATCGTATTTGCTATTTGTTATATTATTATTTTGCATAGGGGCCACTGGAGACAGAAATGATCAGGATGGATTCATGGAGGTCCTTGTGAACTGGGACTTAACCAGGAGGACTGGGACGGAATCTAGACAAAAGAGAGAGGAAGATCATTGTAGGCAAGGACAACACAGATCCAGATTGGAGAACGTGGATAAACTCTGTAAAGCCCTACAATGCATGTTCTCACTCACCTAAAACAGAAGTCATGAGGTTAAAATAAGCCTGAACAATTCCCACCTACTCCTTTAAAGCTAGAACACTCCATGGATCACATCACTTCCCCGGCCATGAACATAACCAGTGCTGGCTCCCTTCTTTGACCATGTAGGAATGAAAAATGTTCTTTGACATTTTATCTAATGTGTGTATGAGAGTGGAGTGAGGGGGAAAAGAAAGAAGGAGGAAGCCAGAGAAAACTCAGAGGTGAAGATGTTTTCAAAGATTCCTTTTCCTGTTCTATTTCCTTTAAAAAAGAAGTTGGCATCATAAAATTTCATTTTCAAATCATTCACTCAACAAATATTTATCAGTAATCTACTATGTGCCAGGGACTGTTATAGTCACTGTTCCAGCAGCTGCTTGAATGTAACATTTAAATTAAGGACTTCATAATCAGGTCACGTTTCTTTCTTTTTTTTTTTTTTTGAGACGGAGTCTTGCTCTGTCGCCCAGGCAGGAGTGCAGTGGCCGGATCTCAGCTCACTGCAAGCTCCGCCTCCTGGGTTCACGCCATTCTCCTGCCTCAGCCTCCCGAGTAGCTGGGACTACAGGCGCCCGCCACCTCGCCCGGCTAGTTTTTTGTAATTTTTAGTAGAGACGGGGTTTCACCGTGTTAGCCAGGATGGTCTCGATCTCCTGACCTCGTGATCCGCCCGTCTCGGCCTCCCAAAGTGCTGGGATTACAGGCTTGAGCCACCGCGCCCGGCCCGAGGTCACGTTTCTTTTACCTGCACTTTGTCACGAAGTTTTTTCCTAAACAAAATAAAACTGATTTAACTGTGAAATTTCCCCAGTATCATGTCAAGATCATGACAATCCTGCTTACAAAAAAGAGACATCGTATTCACCTTCCCCTGAACAGCAATCACTCCTACCTCCCGGGCTCTGCCTTGTTACAGGAAAGGAAACCTTGACATGTCACAAACAAATGCCTTTGGGAGCCATTCCATTATATAAAAGAGTCAAGTAGGATGTGTAAAAGGTACATTTTGATAGAGACACTGGTACCACAACATCTTATTTGGAAAACAGTCTTTGGAGATGTAATTTATTTAGGGATCTTTCCTCTTAGCGCCACAATTAAAAAAAAAAAAAAAAATTGTGATGATAAATAGGACCTGACACCGCTCTCCATTAGGGAAGTCACAGGGAGAGGTGTGGTTTGTGATGAACGTCGCTACTCAGCAATGACAAATTGCTGTCAGCCTAACGTTGGACCTTGAGTTGCCAAATCTTCTGATTTGTTTAGAGAAGCCAGAAATCTGGAGTTTTAGATAAACTATCCCAATTTTTAAACACTGGGAACTAACTAACAACAAAATTTTATGATTCCATATGGACCAAATAAAATACATCAGCCGTGGGCAGTTGTCTACTATTTTGTAATTCCCACAACAGACAACTGCACCAGGCTCTCAGTCTCATGAAAATGGGCAGCACATCTGTCTTTTGCACTTCTGTATCCCCTGTCCCAGCTTGCAGCCTCGCACTGTGAAGGTTACATAAGGAGAGAAAACCGAGTGACTCCTTCCTTCTGAATTCCTTGTTATCAGGAGTTAGTGCAGACTTGGAGGAGCATGTTCCCTTCCTCCTGACTCAGCTTCCAAGTCCTGTGATCACTGGCACCAGCATCTGCTGGAGATGAGATGACAGCAGCACTACCACTGCCAACCAAGAATCCAAATTAGCCACACACTAAGGCGGGGAGATGCTCTTTCAAGAGACACAGAACATCCTTGGGTATTTCCATATGTTAAATGGGTAACTGGCTCAGCGATGGAAATGTTTTGGTAGTCTCCGAATACTTGCTCTCTGCTTATTAGTAGTGTGAGCCTGGGCATGCAATTAACCTTCTTGAGTCTCAGTCTCCTGATCTGTGAAATGGGAATCATAAATAATAGCTGCCTCCAAGAACTATGGTGAAGATTAAATGAGCTAATGGGTGTCTGACCAGAGTTTGTTTAGAAGGTCACAAATGCAGGGTTTGGCTTCCGGTCAATGCACGAGTCAAATGCCACTGTGCTTATCCATGAATGTAAAGCTGCCGCTTGGGGTTACTCCTAGCATCTCTTCTTTCCCAGCCATGATTGTACTTCCTCTCTCAGATCTCCTCCGGGCTTCACGGACCTGCCCAAAGAGTGATCTGTTCTACTTTCTACACAGCTTTTTTTTATAATACGGGCTGCTCATCAGTGGGATTTCAAGAACATTTGCTTTTGTCAAACATATTTTGAGCCTGGCTGTTTTTTTCTGACAGATGTTCCGATCCGCTGTTTCAGGTTGTTGCATTTACCAACCTATCCTCTCAGCAAAGCTGGGTGCAGGTTCCGCCTTCAGGAGGATCGACATTGGCTTGACTGTTTATCATAAAATAAAACACACCTGGACGTCAGACTGCCTCTACTCACCATTTTTGAAACTCTTCTTATTCTTCTTCTTCTTTTTTAAAAATGAGACTAAAATTAAAAATACAGGGGCTTTCCAGTTATTTGCATGTACTCAAAATGGTAAAAGTAACTGATAGGGCTAAAAATACCATGAAAAGATTCAGACTATTTCATACCCCATGCAACAGAAGCATCAGCTTGTAAAACTCCTGGTTACGTGAATTGGGATGTAAGGGAAATGTCCTCTTCAGATATTCCCTGAAAAGAGGAACAATACAAATCCCAACAGTTTGGTGGCGTGGTCCTCCTTCCCTCAACATGCCTGGTGCCGTATTCAAGGGGCCAAGGATACAATGATAAAAATGACAAACAAAGCTCCTACCCTCATAGATTTTGTCCTGTAATTACTTCCTTTACTGCACATCATGAAGAGGGGGAGAGAGCGGTATTAATTCATTTTTACAGATGTGAAATAAATTAGATGTCAGCAATGTGCCCACATGAGAGAGCAAATGTCCATTTGAGGGGAACCTGGCCCAGGCTGCGATGCAGAAGGTTACTCCCTGTCCTTTGTAAATCTCAGTTTCTTCTTTTGTTTAAAAAAAAAAAAAAAAAAAAAAAAAAAAAAGGAAGGAGCAGGGGTGATGTTACATTCGCAGCCCTGCCCAGGCTGCATTGCAGGGTGTGTGTGAGAATTTACTGAGGAAATGTATGTGAAAAGTGCTGTGACAATTGTAATCAACTATGACAGAAAGTTAAAGCACTGTCCTACAGCCTACCACACAGAGTAGGCATTTCATAATTGTTGATGAACTTAAGGGTTCTCTTTTTCTGTCCTCTAGGGCTGTCCATCATATACAGGCGACCTCAGCTGGGGCCATATTTAGACGAAAACAATCACTTCAGGTGAAAATTTAGAGTCCTGGGGCAAAATGAATCACCCCTTCCGATGCTGGCATGTGGACGCCTTCACATGCATTGGGGCAGCTGTGGTCAACTATATGATTCTAATCCAGATATGTGTGTGCTTCATAAAACGGCCACTGCGCTCTAGTGACCACAAGATAGAAGCCTCCTCGGTCCTCATGTTGAGGAGATTAACTCCTCAGGAGTCAGGAAGAATGAGTGTATACTGCTATGCACTAAACTTTCTTCTTGGCTGTGTGGGGAGAGAAAGGATCTCGGCTTGAAGTTTGGTGACTCATACACAGGATTGTGCTATCGTGATGAGCTATCGGGCTGGTACTACAGAATCAAGTTGACTCTTGGTTCCTTATTCTCAAGACTCCACCGGTTCTTACATCTAGAATCCTAGAAGTTTAGAGCTGGAAAAGACCTCACAAATGAGCATAAAACACTTATTTTTAAAAAGCCAAAGACAAGGCTCTTAGCAAGGAGAAAAAGCCAAGCAACTGCAGAGGGAAGGCTGAAAGCAAGGTCTCCCACCTAGGATTCTGCCACTACACTATGCTACCCAACACTGCACTTACTAAATACGGCGCTTGATGGCTTCTAAGTTTTCCTTCAATATGAGAGAGAGAAAGAGAAAGATTCCTTCCCAGCAAAAAGGAATTTTTTTTCTTAGTCTTTATTTCTAGAGTTCAGATTTTTTTCATTTGTACTCCTGAAATTTTATTGAAAATCCTTCAATATTTCTCTAAATATCTCTTTGTCGTAATATTGCTTGTTTCATTTATAACTCAAATTAATTTCTCTACCCCATTATTATCTTTTATCTCTATGAGAAATTGCCCAAGGGTAGGCACCTGCTCTTTGAAGCTGCTCATGGACAGCTTCGACACAGACACTGGAAGCCTAGGCTCCACATGGAGATGGGTCTGCAGATATCACCTGCGGCTGTGGGTCTGCAGTCTGATTGGGGCTGCAACTCTGGTCACTCATTCATGGAAACATATTTACATGGCAAATCATTAATAAATGCAGGTGTTTCATATACACCATGGAATACTATGCAGCCATAAAAAAGGATGAGTTCTGTCCTTTGTAGGGACATGGATGAAACTGGAAACCATCATTCTCAGCAAACTATCACAAGAACAGAAAACCAAACACCGCGTGTTCTCACTCATAGGTGGGAATTGAATAATGAGATCACTTGGACACAGGAAAGGGAACATCACACACCAGGGCCTATTGTGGGGAGTGGGGAGGGAGGAAAGATAGCATTAGGAGATATACCTAATGTAAATGACAAGTTAATGGGTGCAGCACACCAACATGGCACACGTATACATATGTAACAAACCTGCACGTTGTGCACATGTACCCTAGAACTTAAAGTATAATCATAATAAATAAATAAATAAATAAATAAATGCAGGTGCTTGAATTATTCTGAGTTGTGTTCCCTGCCCCCAGTAGAGAAAGTCTGTGTATTTACTATTTGTCACAAGAACTCATCTTTAAGAGAGTTGTGTTTCTGTGTGTTGGCCACTTCTGCTTTATTTGAAGGATATAGCTAGCATTATTGCCTATGCTTAGGGGTTTATTCTTTGGTAAACAATTACATGCTCTAGGAACAGTTTGTGAGAAGGGCGAGAAACCACACTCCTTTGCCAATGCAGCAGACCTAGGAGATTTAGGCTCTCAGAAATTAAGAGGAGTTATTGGTTTCATTGTCCACAGCCATACAAGGAAAACAGTTAATTCAGTATTGCAGCTGAGTTTCAGATGCTACAGTGTTATAAACCCAAACAAGGAAGTTGTACCTCTACTTGTGTTTAAGGAAGGGCGAATGAATTTGGTTATGCCTCTTCTTCCCACAAAGAAGCAGCCAGTGGGAAATGTTCTCTTCTATACACCTGTTGTGTCTAGAAGTTCTAGGATGTGGAGACCAGCTAAACATGTGTGCCACAAATGCCAAAAAAGTATGAGTGGTAGGTGAACTTCTTTTTCTAAGCCACATTGCTCCTAAATACAGCATGCAGTTCATTTATTGAGTTCCTAAATATGCCAGGAATTGTGAGAGGTGCGAGGGATATGATATGTAATGCAGGTAAACAGAAAAAAATTGAATTCAGAGTGACTCCTCCTATAGTTAAGGAAAATATAAAGTGCCAGGGTGACATGTGACAGATGCATGACTGCTTTGGAGGGGGAGAGAGAATGCTCCAGAAAGACAGGCTTTTGAATTTGAATTCACCATATGGATGGGTAGGGATAGGATTCTCCAAGAAAGTGCAAAGGCCAGAAAGTAGAAGGCAGCATTTCATGGAGTGCAAAGTACAAGAAGTTCAGTATTTCTCAAAGGCTAGTAAAATGTGGGAGAGGGTGATGGCAAAGAAGGCTGGGATGACGGTTGGAGACTGAGTCTTCAAGAACCTTGAATGCCAATCTGTAAACTACATCCTGGAGGTTTGGGAGGTTTGTAATGGGAAGAGGGAGATCACAGAGAAGGTCCTTGCATTACTCCAGGATTCAGCTAAAGCAGTGCAGTGAGGATAAAGAGGAGCAGATGACTGGAGGACATATAGAAGGATGTGATGAGTTGGACGAATGTGGTGAAGGAGAGTGAGGGCTGAGACACAGTCTGGAGGAGCTTCTCTAAGAATGCCAGAAGTGGAGTCATACGGCAGAGACTGGGCCCCTCTGAACAAAGGTAAATTTCTTTGCCCCAAGATTTGCTGGTTATGGAAAATACTAATCAGGGTTCCTTTTCCCTTGTCCTATGAGATTTCCTCTCATCTATTGACTCTGAAACCAATTTTCCTCCAGAATAAATTGCTGGCACACATCTTCCTATGTCTCCTAGAAAGAAAGGTGCAGAAGAGTTACAGAGCCCAAACTTGGCTCCTTGGAACTCACCGTGAGCAGGTTGATCAAATCCATGTTGGGTTCTAGGTGGTGAGAGGCATTCTGCAGGGAGACTAGTTCACTCAGGGTAACGGAGAGCTGGTGCATTTTCACAATGTTCACTTTGTTCTCCTCCGTCCAGTCTGGGAAAATGACATGGACTGCTATCAAGTCTTTCAAGTGTACTCCAAGGATGGGGATTTTGAAGCCATCACAGTCGGCAAAGGCCTTGCGGTAATTGCAGTAATTACCGTTGGAGGAGACCAACTCTGTCATTTCATTCCAGTTCTGGGAACAGATGGAAAAGTAGAATTTTCAAACAGCTTTTTCCCTTCTGCACACCCCCAGGCCCTGCAATGTGTGGCTAGGAAATTCCTCAGCTACTCAGAAAAGTATCACTTGCACCAATGTTGCTACAGGGAAATATTAATCAGGAAAAAGAAAGTTAGAAAACGTACTAGGCCTGGCTACACATTGAGCAGCCGGTTCCATTTTGCTATAAAACGGAAATAGCCTCCACGTCTGCCTACCTACTAGAGATGTTGGGATAGTAAATGGCATCATGTATTCTTAAGTGTTTGGGAATTTATGAAAATATTACTGTCCACAAATTCAAGCATGTCGAATATTAAAATTTTTTAGTTGTTCCAAGAAAGTTGCATTCCAGATATTACTTGAGGTTAATCTGGGACACTGTGGGGTAGGGAAAGTTGCAATGCGTTATGAGATAGCTGTGGTTCTATATTCTGCCTAACTAGAAGGGTGACCTTGAACAAGTCACTTCACTTCTTTGGGCCTTGGTTTCTTTCTCTATAAGTAAGAGAAGTTCCAATAAATAATTTTAAAAGATACACTGGTAGTTCTCCAAGCCTCTATAAGCTTCTATCAGATTCTTATTCTTCACAACATTTAAAATTTGTTTTTGCTTTTTACTTGAGATTTGGTACAAAGCTAAAAGAAAATGAAATACTTATTACCTAATACGTTCCATTATACTTGGAATGAGTACAGAGTTTGAGGTCAAACAACGGTACTTCTGTTGTTTACTACCTCTTGTTTATGTGGACAAGTTATTGTTGGTTGCTTCACAGTAACCAGGCATGGTCTTTCTAGTAGACCCCGATTTTAATTAGTCTACTCTCTCCCAAAGCAGCCCTTGTGACTCAGACAGAGCTGTTTCCATTTCCAGGACCAAGAATGGGCTCTGATTTATCATCAGAGTAATTGCATCCCTCTAGTTTGTGACCGGTTCAGGAACTCAGGGTTAAGCCAATCAGTACGTCGTATTCCTCTGGCAACTGTTATTGGTCCAGGGATGGGCTTAAGACCTGAGTTGGCTCAAAAGATCTTTAATTCTATGCGTGAAGAGTTGAAGTGAGAAGTCTTCCCTATCTTCAGCTCTCATGAACAAGGGAACATAATTTTTCGGTTGCTACAGACAGCCCAATTAGGAGAAAAACCAGTTTGATGAAACAAACAAAAAAACAAAACTCTCTAATACTCAGAGGCAGGCAGAGACCCTGAGTCAGAGGTCTGATCAGACCACGTCTGCTCTGTCTCTGGACTTCCAGGTATGTCCCCCAGGGCGGAGTGCAGTGGTATGATCCTGGCTCACTGCAGCCTCAAACTCCTGGGCTCAAACGATCATTCCACCTCAGCCTCCCAGATAGCTGGGACTACAGGCACACACTGCCACACCTGGCTAATTTTTTTTTTTTTTTTTTGCAGAGACAGGATCTAGTTATGTTACCCAGGCTGATGTCAAACTCCTGGCCTCAAGCAATCCTCCCACCTCCACCTCCCAAAGTACTGAGATTGCAGGTGTGAGCCACCACGCCTGATGGACGATACATTTCCTGATTGTTTAATTGCTGTAGAAGTTTCTTTCTTTTTCTTTTAAACTCACAGCTAAAAGTGTCCATATTGAAATAACAAAGTGCACTCTTACGTGATAATCTTTTCATAAGGATGAAATGCTCCTTTTTGCTCAAGAAGAAAAAGAGAACTATCATGTCATAAAAATAAATACGGCAGAAAGCTCAGTTTGGAAAATGATCACTGTTTTTTATATATATATATACACATATTTTTTTTTTCATGACAATTCAGTTCTAAATCTGAGGATTTGTATACAAGGCCTATGTCTTCCCTTTTCTATCTTTTGATGTGCCCAACACAGTGTTATGAATAAAGAAGTAGTCATTCAATAACTTTATTTTAGGAGGTAGGGTAGGAACTATTTCTGTCTTATTTACTTTGTGTATCACAGTGCCTATCACATAATAGGACCAAACAGATACCTGTTGAATATGTTGGGGTTTTCTTTGTTTTTTTTTTTTTTTTTTTTTAGACAGAGTCTCCCTCTGTTGCCCAGGCTGGAGTGCAGTGGTGTGATCTCAGCTCACTGCAAGCTCCGCCCCCCAAGTTCACGCCTTTCTCCTGCCTCAGGCTCCCGAGGAGCTGGGACTACAGGTGCCCGCCACCTCGCCCAGCTAATTTTTTTGTATTTTTAGTAGAGACGGGGTTTCACTGTGTTAGCCAGGATGGTCTCGATCTCCTGACCTTGTGATCCACCCACCTCGGCCTCCCAAAGTGCTGGGATTACAGGAGTGAGCCACCACGCCTGGCCACCACTACAATATGTTAATGATATTCAAAGCATTCTTCCTGGGACACCTACCACCACCTCCAACCTGTTTTTCCAGGTGAACTCAGCTGGTGTGGTTATTCCCTTTCTACTTTGTCCCCATGTATAAACTACCACTGGTTTAAGGGGAAAACTTTCCCCCTCTGAGTGACATTTGTTAGGCGTATACTAAATCTGAACAATTTACAAATGCATTTTTTTACTTTTAACTAGGATCAAATCTACTGTACCTTTGTAACTTCTGAAGAAAGATGAGAATGCGTCTCTTTGAGGCGTGAAATGGAACTATGACTGAGGCCTCCCACCACTGCCATCAGGGTGTTAAAATTTTTGAGCTGAAGGAGCTTCTGCAATAAAAATGCATCAATGCTTTTTAAGGATATTTAAATTAGTCTAAACTTTCTGAATTACAAGTACATTTATGCACAATTTTAATAACAAGAAGTTAATGAAAAAATTACATCCATTTAAAATGAAGCACAAATAGAATCAGAGAAATATATCTATTACTTCACAGAAAAATAGCTACGTTAAATGCTTCTAAGCATTGCTTTTTGAAAGCAATCTTCTTGCATGGCGAAAATACGATTTGTTCATTAGACATCAGCAAGTAGTTTAGTTGTCAAGTGCTCTTATACTGTGAACACCACATTTCTTCAAGGACTTTTCTCAACAGAGTGAATGAACATCTAGAACTCAAGAACCCAGTCTGATTACCAGACATACCTTTGCAACATTGATAAACTTTGTGATGACTTCTGCCCTTTGCTGGGGGGTTGGTTTGCTAAGAACCATCAATTGGACCCACTTAGAGATTCCGTTAAATAAAGCTATCGATCTTTCCAAAGTTGGATTATTCTCCAGGCAGCCATGGATGACATAGCTTTGGTAATCAGTGAACTAGGAAAGGAAGATTCACAGATTCTGAATTATAATGGAGTCTTCGTAAAATCAGAAATTAGAATATTATATAGAAGAGGTAAGATATTGTTTCATAACAACAGAATAATTTCTTTTATTTCACATTTACAATGGCATCCTAAAAGTTTGAATATACATGTGTCTTTAAAACATTATTTTGTTGTTTTTCAAACCCCACTACTCACTCCATGCACAGACACCCACTACTACACATCACAGCTTTGGTGGGAGGAGAAAGAGGCAAGATTCAAAGTGGTATTCCAATGAGTTCAAAATTTACTGGGTCATAAGATCCACCTGTGGCACTTGGTAAAATGCTGGTTCCTGGGAACACCCTAGGTGTAAACGATCACTATCTTCAGAAGAAAAACCAAAGAATCTCCTTTTTTTTTAGACCGAGTCTCGCTCTGTTGCCAGGCTGGAGTACAGTGGCGTGATCTTGGCTGACTGCAATCTCCGCCTCCCGGGTTCAAGTGATTCTCCTGCCTCAGCCTTCTGAGTAACTGGTACTACAGGTGCAAGCCGCTACACCTGGCTAGATTTTTTTGTATTTTTAGTAGAGATGGGGTTTTGCCATGTTGGCCAGAATGGTCTCGATCTCTTGACCTCATGATCTGCCCACCTTGGCCTCCCAAAGTGCTGGGATTAAAGGCGCGCTGGGCCAAGAATCTCCATTTTTAACACACTGCTGGTGATTCCAATCAGGCAAGTTAAAGATACAATGGTATACAATGAAGAGGAGGAAATGAACACAAATATAATGATTTCGAATTAGCATCAGATGTAAAGTTGTTTCAAGAAAAAAGAAGACAGAGGAAAAAAAATCAATTGAAGTAAGGCTGCTCTTTAGCAAGACAAACACATTTTCAGAATGTTAGCATGGAGGTCAAAAAATACATATGAGCTTTCTATCATATAAACAGTGCAGGGGACTCCCTCCCATGGCCTGCCTGTGGGGAATCATTAAGGTACTCTCCAAGTAGGATTACTTAGTGAAAGAATCAGTCTTTCAGAAATTCATGCTTCTAACCAAGACAGTCTTCTTTGCAAGCAATAATGTAATTCATTCTCCGACACCTTGGAAAAGGAGAAGGAGGAGGTGCAACTTCCCCAGAGCTTGGCGAGACAAAGCAAAGTGGTTGGCTGATTGTGAACCAATGTGGAAAATGTTATCATAACAGGAGGATAGAGAGCAGGAGGCTAAGAAATCACAGACCAGAGAAAGAAAAGGGGGAGTTAGAGAAGGAATGAGGCTCCATCAAGATGAGTAGGAAAGAAAAGTTTAATTCAGGATCTCTATCTCTGGGAAAGAAACAACCTGAGGTTGAGATTCTCCTTAAAGTCTACAATTCCTGTTTTCAACCTACACCCATAATTAGCCATTTATACAAATCTGAACCTAACTAAATATTTTTTCCCAAAAACGAAGGGCCTAGCAAAACATGTTCACTTGGGAGAAGTCAATGGAGCTAAATCAACCTTGAATGGTTAAATCTCCACTGACTATTTAGAAAAATCACGCTTTAATCCTATGAAAGGAGACATTGAAAATAGCGACAGAAATATAGCTCCTGAGCCATAAAATAAAGACAGGATAATATTTATCTTTGGTTAAAAGGGATTGTTCCTGTGAATTAAGGGCACTTTTCCAGCAGAGCACAGTGATAGAAGCTGCCAACACTTCAGAGTATGAAAATGCAGCTCTTGGGAAAGTTGGCATGGTGGTTGTTATCCTTGGAAGAATAAATGTCAAGTTTCTTACTGAGATCCTTCTAAAAGATTTATGCTCCAGAAAAGTGAGGTGCTCAGCCAATTCAATGGGCTCCAGATGGTCAAACAGCAGACAGGCTTTTCCCTTCTTGGATACTTTTTTCCTCTGTGTGACTCTTCTCATCCAGTCATAGGAAGGACTATAAAAGAAGAGTGAGTCCGGTCAATGTGTTGAAAGCCCATTTCACTCAATGGAAGTTATTAACCTACTGACTCTGTAACTCTTGGCTTGCTTCCAGGGGCTTGTGCAAAATACATGCCCTGTCTTTCATATTTGAAGAGAAAACCACTGACCAATTGCCAATAGAACATAAACTTGGAGTTGTTTTTCCAGACAGAGTAGGTTTTGCACTGATCCATCCAGAATCTCTTACTTAGTCTCTTTGTGACCAGCAAGGTCTGGATCATAACGGAAAGGTCAGGGCTAGTATATAAATTTGGGAGTTTATCAGGATATAGATGGTGATTTAAGGCACATGGAAACCACTAGAAGCTGTGGTTCTCATACTTTAGTATAACATGAATTATCTGAAAAGCTTGTTATAGACAGACGCCTGGGCCTTACTGCCAGAGGTTCTGATTTATTAGGAATGATCTTGAATAATATGTATTTTCACCAAACATCCCTTATAATTCCCGGATCATTCACTATTGATTACTACTGAAGAAGTATTCAATAGCAATCGACAGTGGAAAACAGAGATACCTAACACACAAGAACATACATTGGCAAGATGGATAACCATATTTAGGATCACCAAATAGTCTTCCCTGTGCAAAGTTACCTAGTTGATATGAAAGTGGCCTAATTGCACCAGTTACCTAATAACTGAGCTAACCAGCTCCTGACATCTATGGTCAACCACCATAAGGTTGAAGGCCAACCTCAGCAGCACCATGGTACAGAGCTTCTCAAGCTTGCATGTGAATCACTTGGGGATCTTTAAAGTGCAGATTCCAATTCAGGTTTAAGGTGGAGCCTAGAGGCTGCATTCCTAACGAGCTCCCAGGTGATGCTAATGTTGCTGGTCTGCAGACCACACTTTGAGTAGTGAAGGCATAAGAGATGTTAACTAGATTCAGACTCAGTAACTCATACCGAGCGTCTATTGTGTGCCAAATGCTTTCATGCACTATCTTATGTCCTTATTGGATGTTCATAATAATCCCATGAGAAAGGTACTGTTCACATTTTACAAGTAAAGAAACTGCAGCTTGGAGAGATAAGTTGTGTCCAACATGGCTTGTACTCACTGCAGCAAGGCTTTTCTCACAGAAGCAAACCTAGATTCAGGAGTGGGATGGACTCAGGACAAGTGGGGTGATCACTACTTCCTCCCCTAAGCAGTGGACTCATCGAGTGTGAAAGACGTTGGTGCCACTCTTACATGCTGGATATGTCGATGAGGCTGACGTGTTTTTCATATCCTAGTTGACTAGCTACTTCCCGGAATTCCTCAGTCATACGAATCAAACCAAGATCCAAATTAAACTCTGCAGGAAATTTCAGAATCCAGTACCTGAAAGGCATCAAATATTTTTGGCAGCTGGAATATTTCAAGTTGGATATCTATGGAAACGATTGTACCATTTTACAGACTACATTTAACACTGAATCCAGGACCATACTTCAAATTAGCCATCTCCTGTCTCCAAACCCCCATCCATCACGTGGAGCCTCTCTCTGCCCTCCTTCTATCTCAAACCACTCCCATTCATAGCCTCTCTTTCAGTTGAAAGGAAACTCTTCCTTCAAGTCATGGTGAGTAGGTGGGAATGGGTGTGGCGAGGGAGTAGAAGAAAATAAATCCACCCTTTCTAAGAGCTAGTTTCATTCCTTAATCACATTTACTACTACTTAATCTCTAGTGCAAAAGATAAAGTTTCCCCCACCCCACCCAACAGAGGAGGGCCAATTTTAACAAAAGTTGGTGGGAGGGGTATCAGAGTAGATTCTGTTGTCAAACTAGGTCTGCAGCTTGGGGAAAAGGAAATTGTCAACAATTGCAGAACTAGAAACTACAACCGTGCCGGAACCAGAAGCTACAAGAAATCAAATTTGTAAATGTGTTTACCTCATGAAGTAGCAGATCTTTAATCGAAATTCATTGCAGCTTTCTCCAGTGGCATTTCGATACGTAAACCAGTTAAAGAAAAAATTCGTGCACCTCATTTCCTTTACACACACCTGCAGCTGTGCCCTCAACGTATATCAATTCCTAGTAAGAGGACCATGCTGTGGACATTTGGGGTTATAAAGACACTCAAATACAGAGAGAAGTGGCCTCTGATGACTTCGACACTGAACAATTGAAACTTGATTTATTATAGCTCTGGAATATATTTTTTTGGTCTGAAGGAGAAGCCAGTTACAAGATTAGTTTTGCCTTCCTCCACACTTAACTAATAACTGCCAATTGTAATTACAAATAGACTGGCAACTATACATAATTAAAATTGATAGTACAGAGAAACACTATTTATTTTTATTATTATTATTTTTTGAGACGGAGTCTGGCTCTGTCACCCAGGCTGGAGTGCAGTGGTGCAATCTCGGCTCACTGCAAACTCTGCCTCCCGGGCTCACGTCATTCTCCTGCCTCAGCTTCCCGAGTAGCTGGGACTACAGGCGCCCGCCACCACGCCTGGCTAATTTTTTGTATTTTTAGTAGAGATGGGGTTTCACCGTGTTAGCCAGGATGGTCTCAATCTCCTGACCTTGTGATCCGCCTGCCTCGGCCTCACAAAGTGCTGGGATTACAGGCGTGAGCCACTGCACCTGGCCGAGAAATACTATTTTAACCAAAAAGATTTTGTATTTAGGATTAATGCCTTATACAGTTATGCACCACATAACGACGTTTCAGTCAATGAAGGACTGCATATATGACAGTGGTCCAATAAGATTATAGTGGAATTGAAAAATTCCTGTTGCCTAGTGACATGGTAGCCAGCATAATGTTGTAACCCAATGCATTACTCATGTGTTTGTGGTGATGATGGTGTAAACAAATCTGCTGTTGTGTGAGTCATGTAAAAGTCTAGTATACAGAGTCATGTACAGTATATGATACTTGATAATGGCAATAAATGACTGTTATTGGTTTATGGACTTACTATACTATTTTTTGTTGTAATTTTAGAGTACTCCTTTTACTTATGTAAAAAAAATTAAAAAGTTAACTGTAACACAGCCTCAGCAGGTTCTTCAGGAGTTATTCCAGAAGGAGGGAATGTTATCATAGGAGATGACAGCTCCATGCCTGTTACTACCCCTGAGACATTCCAGTGGAATAAGAGATGGAGGTGGAAGACACTGATGTTGATGATCCTGAGCCTGTGTAAACCTAAACCTAGGCTAATGTGTTTGTTTGTGTCTTTGCTTTTAATAAAAAAGTTTAAAAAGTAAAAAAAAAAAAAAAAATTTTAATAGAATAAGTTTGTAGAATACAGATATTAAGAAAGAAAATATTTTTTACAGCAGTACAATATATTTGTGTTTTAAGGTAAGTACTATTACAAAAAGATTAAAAAGTTTTTAAAGGTTTATAAAGTATAAAAGTTACAGTAAGTTAAAGTTAATTTATTATTGAAGAAAGAAAAATATTTTTATAATTTGGTGTAGCCTAAGTATATAGTGTCTATAAAGTCTACAATATTGTACATTAATGTCCTAGGCCTTCACATTCACTCTCCACTCACTCACTGACTCACCCAGAGCAGCTTCCAGTCTTGCAAGCTCCATTTGTGATAAGCGCTCTATATAGGTGTACCACTTTTTATCTTTTATACCGTATTTTTACTACACCTTTTCTACGTTTAGATACACAAATACCCACTATTGTATTACAATTGCCTATAGAATTCAGTATAGCCACATGCAGTACAGGTTTGTAGTCCAGGATCAACAGGCTGTGTAATATAGCCTAGATGTGTAGTAGGCTACAGCATCTAGGTTTATATAAGCACACTCTATGACATTTGGAAAATCATGAAATCATCAAATGATGATTTCCCCGTCGTTACGCTATGCGTAACTGTATAGGTACTCTAATTTCTTCTTTAATATTTGAAAATGTCATTTTCAGGTACCTTAATACTCAGGTTGTGTTATTTACTTGTGAGTGTATTTATTCATACTCTTTTAAACAAATATTTATTGAGCTTGTGTATATGCCAGGCACTGTGGATATAGCATGAGCAAGGAATCCAAAGGGAGGAAAAATTATAGAAATGTCGATTCACAGGCGGTCTTCAACTTTCCCACATTAAATGTTACTATGCCTAAATATCCCTTTTTATTTGTGTCTCATGCACTGGTGACCATGCTGAGGGTGAGAACACTGTTGGTGGCTACATTCTTTGGATAATGTCTAGATTGCCAGGAGTATGACCAGACTGAGCCAATGCCCTCCATCCTTACCTATGTTCTACACTTCAACAGTGGACGCATATGACCGTTGGACCACCAGGAGTTAGGATCTTGCTCACTTTCATGGACCTTATAGACTCTCTAATATCCTTTTCTGCTCTGAGGTTGTGAGGAGGATGAAGAGAAATAGAAAGTGGAGGAAGCTTGAACTGAACAGGTGGACACCCTACTGGCTCCAGAAGCCCTGGCAGGCCCTAACAACACTTGATGGTGCCTCTCCCTCTAAGGTGGTACCTCTCCCCCTAAGGCTCCCCCTCCCTGTAACGGTTCTCACTCATCTCCAGGGCCTCATGGGCTTGAAGAAGGCAGAGACTGCAGGCACTGACGTTAGAGATTGTATAATAAGCATTGGCTCTCAGGGAATAGAACCTTTTACGAATGGGAGACTGCATCTTCAGTCATTTGGCTTTCAACCACTTTTCTGGACTGCATGATGTAGAGAAGTGGTAGACTGCTAAAAGCCTTCATTATGAAATGGTGTTTCTAACCATGTGGGATTTTTTTGTTTTCATTTCAGAAGAAAATCTAACATTAGTATCAGTCAACAAATTATAATAAGCCTGCTAGAATGTTCATTGTGTCTTGGCAGCAAGGGAAGATGTGAAAACTAAATTGATGTTTGTGCCCAAGCGAGAGCATATTATTTTGGCTGTATTTCCATATGATTAAGCTGCATCCTCTATGCCCACCATTTTGCCATCCCAGAAGAAACAAATTTGGTCTTGAATCATTGTTAAATATTCTCTCATCGCTCTAATAATAGAAATGTTTAAGACAAGTTAGAAACATCCAGCCCACAGTTCCTGCTTCATTTTACATCTTAGTGATTATTTTCAAGTACAGCCAAAACATCCAGATGGAGAGTCAACTATCTGGTCTATCATCCAGATGTGTTTCGTCTAGACATCTACATATATTCGCAAAACAGCTGGATAACCGAAGACTATTTATTCATCTTAATTTACTGGCTTTGGATAGACACTCTATCTAAATACAGAGCTTGATTTATGGTTGTAAAAATTACACAGTAGTTGAAAAGATATATGCAGAGAAGTTTTTCTGCCAACTCAGTGGAAGATAAATACCATCGGTGCATCAGTAGAACTATTCTTGGCAAGTAACTATTATTCAGCTCTCCATTGTCATCTGTTAAAAAAATAGACAAGAAGTGAGGAGATAACAGTGCTACTCTTTACTTTTTCTAACATCAATAGAGAAGCAATAGTGTCATAGTGTCAAAAATTTTTCATAGACAAATGAATTTTTTTTTTTGGAGACGGAGTCTCACTCTGTCACCCAGGCTGGAGTGCAGTGGCACAGTCTCGGCTCACTGCAACCTCTGCCTCCCGGGTTCAAGCGATTTTCCCGCCTCAGCCTCCCAAGTAGCTGGGACTACAGGCGCCCACCACCACGCCCAGCTAATTTTTCTATTTTTAGTAGACATGGAGTTTCACCATATTGGTTAGGCTGGTCTTGAATTCCTGACCTTGTGATCCTCCCACCTTAGCCTCCCAAAGTGCTGGGATTACAGGTGTGAGCCACCACGCCTGGCCGACCAGTGATCTTTTACCTCCTACTTTGGCTAGTATTTCCTTGCAAGTAAAGGTGGGTGGGTCTTACCCTACCTCTGGTCTACAGTTGACAGATTTCATAAATAAAATTCAGGACAATCAGTTAAATTTGAATTTAAGAGAAACAATGATTAATTTCTTTATTGTAAGTATGTCCCTGGCATTATTTAGGTCATACTTACACTAAAAATGTTTGTCAGAAATTCAAATGTAACTGGTCATCCTGTATTTTATCTGGCAACCCTGCTCTGGTTTAACTCTGGTTTCTATAGTAATCAATTTAATAAATAACTACTCCCATGGGGGTTGACTTTCTTTGTGCAAGGGATAACCCAATATGCTGTGGTGGATATGAAAACAACAACACAAGGAGCGTACAGCTGTAAAGTGTATAATCTAGTAGCAGATATGACGTGTTTGAATGTAGAATGCAGTAAATTGTGCCACTCACATTTGTCTAAGTCAAAAGACCAAGAAACAATTATAGAGGCATTTGCTATGTGCTATAAGGAATTACAATGGGATGTGAGATGGGGGAAAAGGCAAGCAGCGTTCCTGACCAAGGAAACCAGGGCTGGTACTATGAACATCTGAGAAGGCCCTGAAGCGAATTTCAATGAAGGGAATATGACCAGTGGATGGTGGTAGAAAGGCACAGGGAATGTTCCAGAAACATTAAGTGGACAGTTTGACTGGGGTATGAGCTGTGGGCAGTAAAGGGAAAGAAATGTGGAGGGCAGTGAAGCTGGAGAGACAGACTGGAGTCCATCCAAAAGGCCTTAAATACCAAGATACAGAGACCGAACTCTGTTCCACAAGCAACTTGCCTCTGAATAGAGGAATAGAGGAAAGTGAGAGCATTGAGAGATCCAAAAGAGATGAAAGGAGAAAAGGCTCGTACCAAACATCTCAATGCAAGTGTGCAGCAGTTCATCTAATGTTGCTGCTTTCCCAAGGCCACTTGATCCCATGGTTATTTAGCCGTTGTCAAAAAACCAGAGACATTTTCAGCATCAGATAGACCATCTCCATAATCATGCAAGTCAGTGACGTTAGTGCCTAGTAGTGACCTGTCCTTAGTTGTACTTCAAGAAAACTCTAAAAAAAATTAAAAAATTTAAAAAAACAAGAGAAAGTTATTAGACTAGAGTTCAGACCCCATTAGAGCATCACTTGCCAACCTGAAAAGATAATGACTTCCATAGACAGTATCTTTCTACAAGAAAAGTATCAGTAACTGAGATTACATCAACCTTTATGATGCCAAAAATACCTGCTAAGCTGTTCCTGGGGATGGATGGTGCTTGGAGACCATGGAAATGTTCCCTGTTATATACCATTCCACTTCACAGCTAAAATTTTTTAATGCAATGTTTTATACTTTCCTCGTATCTTTTTTTGTTTTGTTTTGAGACAAAGTCTCACTTTGTCACCCAGGCTGGAGTGCAGGAGTGCAGTAGTGCGATCGCGGTTCACTGCAGCCTCGACCTCCCGGGTTCAAGCAATTCTCCCACTTCCGACCCCCCAGTAGCTGGGACTACAGGCACACATCACCACTCCTGGCTTTTTTTTTTTTTGTAGAGATGGGGTTTTGCCATGTTTCCCAGGCTGGTCTTGAACTCCTGACCTCAAGTGATCTACCTACCTCAGCCTTTCAAAGCGCTAGGACTACAGGTGTGAGCCACTGTGCCCAGCCACCTTTCCTCATATTCTTAAGTGATAAGATATTCAAGAATATTATAAATGTTACTTGGTTTAGTATTAGTAAAAGAATACGTAAGGAAAAAAATTTTAGATGCAAATATATTTATAAACATTATCCTCAGTGATTCATAAATATTCAACAACTATAAAAAATTCTACTTGCCTGAGAGTAAGATTATTCTTTGCAGTGGTAAAAATACTACTGTTAATTTATTGAACACCCACATTATGTACTATGCACCATTCCAAATGTTTTGCATATATTGTCGAACTTGACCTTCACAACAATGCTGTGAGGTAGTAATTATTATTTCCAGTTAACAGATGAGTTGATGGGATTCACAGTGATTTAGCAACTTACCCAAAACCGTACAATTATTAAGGCCTAGAATCAGGACTCCACTATAAAAGAAAGCATCTGTGTTCCCTTTCTTCTTACTACTTCTACAAGCATGGATATCACAAACCATCATAGTTTTGCCTGCTAATCTAGTGTAAAGGGTATCACTCCTCCACATCATCTCAGAAAGAAGATGTAAGGCAGATTATCTGCTACAGAGGTAGAAAGAATATGTGAGGATGACAGCTATCCCATTTGCCAGTACTGTCATGAGGAAAACATGATTGGCAATAGCCTCTTATAGTTGCTTACACTCAAAAGCATCGCTGCTGGGTAGACATCATCACTTGATTTTACAGAGCAGGTCCTTGATGCCAGGTCCCCACAGGACTTGGAGCAGGAGGGAGGCTGTCATGATGTAAGACATTTATCCACTTTAGATATTTTAGTAGGTAAATGCAACCATTGAGGATTCGTCTCATGAGCTGTTGAAAGTCAATGTCTATTTTACTCTCGAACTTTATTCAACTGGCAATCACTGAGCACCTGGCCTATGCCAGGCACTTGGTTAGGCATTGAGGCTGCCAAGATGAACAAATCATTGTCCCATTCTTACCTTCAACAGGCTCATAGTCAACTTCAGAAAACAAACATGTGAATGAATAGGAAAAAATACCTAATGTCCATATGATGGTTGTATTAGTTCAGTGAGACCACTGGAGTGACATTGGAATGAGTCTGTTCACCAGGCACATAACTCTGGGGGGAAAATGTTTGCCCTCTATTCATTTTGTGAAAGAACCAGATTCCTGTGCTGAAGGTACCATTCTTAGAACATAAAATAAAGGGTTATTTCAAGTGTTCAATAAAAACAGCAGAAACGCTGGATCAAATGTTCTGCCAATTCTGCTGCTCAAATGATTTGTGAAAGCAGATTATTAAAGTCATCTGGAACTAACTCTTTTATATCTTTCAACAAAGTTACCTTACCTGTAAGGCCTTTCCTATTTAAAACAACGCACCTCTCAGCTCTCACCCACCTCTCACTTGGCATGTCCTACCGCCCTTCCTGGATTTATTTTTCTTCATAACACTTAACACTATCTGACAAACTATATATTTTACTTGTTTATTTGTTTTTAAATCTCTATAGTGCCATAAACATAAGCTCCAAGATTGTAGAGATGTTTGTGTTTGTTCTCTGGTATACTCCTTAACGCCTAAGGTTTTGCTTCTCACATAAAAGATACTCAAAAATTATTCACTAAATTAATGAACGAGTGGATTAATGGATGAGGAAATAAATATCATGAAACTTGTCACAGGTTTGTCTTTGAATATGAGTATATTTATGTGAGTGTGTATAGATACCATATATTTTTAAGAGACTTTTAAAGTTTGTTTACTAAATCAGCTTTAAGTAAACATCACTGGAACAAAAATTTCTGCCAGTTTTCTAAACTTAATATAATCGCCTCTATTAATCATGAGAACTTGCCTTTTCCAAGACATTCTGGGGCAGAACTTCTCTGATTCCTCTAATGTCAACTCTATCAGTACCCTTAAAAGTCAAGATTGAACAATTAACAAGTTTGATTACCTTCAGGTGTATACAGACTTTTTTTTTTTATCCTGTTACTCACTGAACAGTAGACATATTACTTAGAAAAAATAGGCCTAGACTACACTGGTTTCTCAATTCGAAACCAAAATTATTCAACTGAGCTGTTTGGGGAAGGTGTTGACGTCCCCATAAGGGGTTAGAGATAACCTGGAACAAAAGACTCATCACCATGTTTAGGGTTATATTTCTGATCTGCAAAGAAACTGGCACATCATGGGCCAGGTGGGCCGGGCTATCAGGTTACAATCTGTTTCTGCAATCAATAGATGTGTCTGAGTCTCTGCTCCGCCTTCTGTCACCTGCACATTTACCTGAGATCTCATTTCCTACGAGTGGACATTATTGTGTCTATAACTGCCTTTTTCAAAACAAGGTTTCTTTATTACAAAAGCAATATACACTTATTATTTAAAATAGGACATTAAGGAAAAAGTTATCCTTAATCTCATCATCCAAAGATAACTCCTATTAACATCATAGCATGTTTCTTTTAGTTTCTCTAGGCATATTTATTTTTTTATGAGAATCCTTACATAATTTATGACAATTTAAAGAAATACTTACCTGTTGTTTCCATACAGATAGAGTTCCAAATCTGAAATAATTTTAAGGGCAGTTAGCACCATTGGGAAATGCACGGAAGAAGTAGTCTGTAGAACTGGTTTATTCAAACTGAATGGTAAGTACTTTGGAGAACCTGACAAAAGAACAGAAAGAAGCCGCCGTACAGAATTAGATCACGATAACCCCAAAGAATCCACATTGTGTTAAAGCATTTTCAAAAACTTTGAGTTATAGGTGGTATTTGAGATTTTGTCTAAACTTCACCCACAACATCAATTAACAAGGGCAAATATTCAAAATAGTTATTTGGTAACACAATTTTTTTTTAATCAAGTAAGCTTTCAGCAGCCTATTAAAAACCCACATATGGGACAAAGTCAAGTTCTACACACATAGTATAAACTACTATTTCACGCAAATATACTTATATCAGTGGATTACTCATTAAGAATTTCCAAACACTGACTTTGAAATGTTAGTAAATCCTTAAAACAGTCTGTGGTCGTGATCACTAAACTCTGACCCTAAATCACTACTGATTGTCTCAACAGGAATGTCAATGTTATTTTAGAGCAGGTTGTTTAGTCTCCCAATGGGGACTTAAGGACTTGCTGTTTGTTTAGGACTTGCCGTAGTGTTGATAGGTGCTCTCTGGCTGCAATGAAAATTATTGCTCTCCAGCATAGACATTTTCTCCCAAGTCTGAAAGGGACACAATAAGCCAAATTTCTCCCAGGGTTTGAATTATTTCTAAAAGAAAAGTGTTATTTTTAAAGGGCAATAGAGTTGTTGGGTGTGATTTCAAAGGCTATGATATGTTCCTGTAGCAAAAGGACGTTCATTAACATGACTTGTGAAGCCTCTGTTGTCAAAAAACATCCTTCTGAGGTTGCCTAGGACAATAAGAACTGTGCTCCCAATTTTAGAAATAATAAAAGGAAGGCAATTCCACGAAACTGATCATTAACAGATAAAAATGAGCATACCAGGCTCTTGACTCAGAACCTCTCCATTAAAAAAAATTGGGTTTCAACATTAGGTAACTGAATGGGGAAAGTCTGACTTATCTCTGAGTAAAATGCCATAATGCTGTGTACTTTATTAGACTGTTTAAGGAGTTAGTGAGGTCACATAAAGTGAATCCATCATGGAACCTACAGAACACTGAGTGCTCCATGTGAAGCTCACACTACTTCTTCCCCTCCCATATTAAAAGTCTTTTAAGTTGAGGCCTGAAGTAGCGGACCAATTTGTAGAAGTGACAGGGAGAGAGATGTTCATTTAGACAAGAAAAAAGATATTCTAAGAAAAAATACGGTGACACTGGAGCACCTATTAGTGGGCCAGGCAGCCTCACCAGCAAGGGACTCCAATTCCCAAAGGTTCTCAAGTCAAAGTTAGGTCATGACTGTCAGAGATGTTGTAGACTAAATTCCCAGACGGTGTCTAGGAAGTATGCCAAAATGACAGGGAAGCTTTCTCCTGGCTCTAGAATTGTAGGATTTATAAGGTGAAATACTGTAACTAGTAAGTGTTTAACAAATCGTTCTGAAATGATGTTGGCCATATTAGAACTTTCAACGATTGTCTTGTCTATCATATTATCTCTATTCCAAGATAAAAGAATTTCTTGAAGATCCTTCCCTGCTAATGGTAGTTATTATCTTTATGCATAAATGACTACATAAATATCTTTACATTTATATGACCTCCGTATGGAGACAAAGAGGTTTTTCTAAATGACTAAAAATCAAGTGGTAATTGTGACAAACCTTGAAGTCTTAAAGATTAATGCCAAAGATGTCAGCATTCATTGTTCTGGAAATATACAAACTTAATTTCTCTTTATCACCACAGACATGAGATTTTTTTAAAAGTTCTGTGATTATATTACCTGATACTCCATAGGAGGATTGAGATTGAGTTTAGTAAATGAAATGATAATAAAAACTCTGAAAGATAATTAATTTTTTTGATAAATACTTACCGAGGATCTACTAGACACCAGACACTGAACAGAACACTAGAGTGGCTGGTAGAAGGGGCTGGTGTTGGGGAAGGGAAGGATAAATGGGTAAGCAAGACAGACACAATCCTTGCCTGTATAGTCTAGCAAAGAATGAAAGGAAGAATTACAATAAAATATCCTGTGGAGCACAGAGCAGATAGGGAGGGGCACTAATTTAGTCTAGAAGCCTGAGGAGTTTTAGCTTGGTAAAGAAGATGGCAATTATGAGAAATCAAAAAGACATTTAGAATGACTAAAGTGTTATGGCAAGAGATGAGACTAAAAAGTCAGTAGAAGTAGCTCATGACAGTATTGTAAGCTTTAGTAAGGAGTATATACTTTATCCAAAGGGCAATAGGAAGCCATTGTTTGAAAGGAGAGTGGCATGATCGTATCTGGATTTTTTTTTTCTTTTTTTTTTGAGATGGTCTCACTCTGTTACCCAGGCTGGAGTGCAGTGGCGTGATCTCAGCTCACTGCAACCTCCGCCTCCCAGGTTCAAGTGATCCTCCCACCTCAGCCTCCCAAGTAGCTGAGATTACAAGCATGTGTTACCACACCTGGCTAATTTTTGTATTTTTAGTAGAGATGGACATTTCCCCCTATTGGCCAGGCTGGTCTCAAACTCCTGACCTCAAGGATCCACCCACCTCAGCCTCCCAAAGGGCTGGGATTACAGGCATGAGCCACCGCACCCTGCCTGATTTTCTTATTATTTCATTTCCAATGGTATCTTAACGTCTTCTTCACCATATCAAGCAAAGTTGGGTGAAATGGGAGCTAGGATCTGTGCCCTGGTGAGGACACCACCTAACAAATGCCAGCCCTGTTTTAGTTCGGAGGCTCGGAGTTATGGAAAGTGTGACTAGATTATAACAATAAAAACTCAGAATTGCTTCTTGAATGCAGGGGAGATTTATATACATTGTTCCAAAAGTTATCTGAAATAATTTTAGAAACATGACATAGGTGGGTGATACAATAGACCAAAGAACAAGGAACACTAAACTTCCTCTCAACAACAACAACAACAACCAAACAAAAGAAAACCTCCAGGAGAAGAGAAACATCAGCCTTCTACTCTTGACAGAAATAATCCCGATAATTCTGGTTCCTTTCTTCTCTTTTCACAAAGGCTTTTGTACATTTTCTCCTCTTGATAAACCTCAGAACTGTATCCATCATACCTTCTGGCAGATGACTGTGTCTCCTTTTTAGAGTAAATGGAAGTTGCCAGACAGAAACTTCCTTGACTTCCTTCCATAAAAATGACAACTTTACCTACATGAATGCCCTTTTTTGGGGTCTCTCCTGCTATTGCATTGAAAGAAGTGGCCCTCTTCTTTATCCAAGGTCATCCCTCCACCTGCGCATGGATCCCTTACTCTTGTCCTCCCAGGGACCATGTTACATGAATTAACTTCTCACTCTTTTGCCTCTTCCTCCAATATTTATTTTTCCTGCTAAATCTTAGCACTTAAAGATGCCCAGGTCTTAACTCAGAAGTCTGTAATGGATATCTAGAAGTTAACTCAAAATTTCTCCTTGATATGATCAAGGGAAATCATTGAAAACAAAATTTCTCCTAGGAGTCTCAGGCATCTCTAAATCAATACGGCCAAAATGAACTCATCATTTTCCTCCCATAAACTTCCTTCTCCTCCCCTCCACTCTCACTTTCTCAATTGCAGGAGAATAACACCATCACTCAACCAAATATCTAGCTAGAAATCTGGGAATTACCTTTGATTCTGATCATTCCCCATAGCCAATGGATCAGTAAATCTTTCTGAATCTATTTTCAAAAGAAATTCTGCAACCAACCACTTCTTTCCCATCTCCATGGACACATGCTGGTTTAGACAACCATCATCTGTTGCCTGAATGATTTTAACCAATTACTAACTGGTTTCCCCATCCTCAGTATAGGTCTTTACTACAATGTATTCTCCATTCTGCAGCTGGAAGAATCCAGATATGGGCCAGGCACGGTGGCTCATTCCTGTAATCCCAGCACTTTGGGAGGCCGAGGTGGGTGAATTACTTGAGGTCAGGAGTTTGAGACCAGCCTGGCAAACATGGTGAAACCCCATCTGTAATAAAAATACAAAAAGTAGCCAGACATGGTGGCACATGCCTGTAATCCCAGCTGCTTGGGAGGCTGAGGCAGGAGAATCGCCAAACCTGGGAGGCGGAGGTTGCAGGAAGTCGAGATCCTGCCACTGCACTCCAGCCTGGGCAACAGAGACAGACTCATTTCTCTCCCATCCTTTGACTTGATCTAAAATATTTCATTCTGGTAACTACCACCTGAGCCACCTTTCTTATGATCCCCACCTTCCCTAATAGGCTTTCTGTATCTCTGCCCCACCATTCACACTCTCCAATGCTCTCATTAACTGAGTCTCGCTCTGCCACCCAGGCTGGAGTGCAGTGGTGTGATCTCGGCTCACTTCAACCTCGGCCCCCCAGTTTCAAGCAGTTCTCCTACCTCAGCCTTCCAAGTAGCTGGGTTTACAGGTGCACACCACCATGCTCGGCTAATTTTTGTGTTTTTAGTAGAGATGGGGTTTCACCATGTTGGCCAGGATGGTCCTGAACTGCTGACCTCAAGTGATCTGCCCACCTTGGCCTCCCAAAGTGCTGGGATTATAGGCATGAGCCACTGTGCCTGGCCTCAGTTGACTATATTTGAAATTCTTTGTTTATTTCTGCATTGGTCTTGTTTCTGTTTAAATTTTCCTGCTCATTCCTTTCAAGTTCACTCCTCTGTTCTTTGGATTTCTCTTTCTACTTCATTTTCTTCAATCAGGTGTTCTTCCCAGTGTGCTCTACCAAAGTCATACTGTCATCACTGTCAAACTTGTTTCTATCACAAACCTACTGGGATAGTATGAATATAAGAAATGGGCCCGGTGCTCATGGCAAAGTTCATTCATTGTAAATGGACCACAACTGATGACATGAAGACTAAAATCTCCCATATTTATGGATGGTGAAGCAGTATCTCCAAGGGTTATTTAACAATGACAGCAGGAAGGAGCCATGGTTAATACAGTAATTTTCAATTCTAAAAGAAATTTTTTGTCCTTCTTGCATTGGGTGTGTTTATTTAATGTCATAAT